AGCTTTGGTTATGTATTAATAAACCATGGCAGCTCTGGTGACAATTGGGGTGTCAACCTTCTTGTCCTGGCCAGGCCCAGCTCTGTAGCTCAGCCCTGCCAGCTGCGGTTTGCCTGCAGGGAGAGGGGAAGGGGCAGAAGCAAGGCAGAGCAGGTTGGGTCCTGCCTGTGCTCCTGCTGCAGATGCTGCGTGTCAGTCCTGGCAGTGTGCTGCTGTTCCTGTGCGGTCTGGAACAGCTGCTGCTTCCCACCCAGAGGTGATCCCATTACAGTAGTAAACGCCTATCTCCAAAAGAATAGATTGTAATTACAGTATTTTCTGTGGCGTCCTTTCATGCCAAGCACGTTTGTATACACAAAGGGATGTACTAAATATTTTTGATGGGACTTCCCACCATAAGAGATTGAACTGTTAAGTGTTATTATTGCGTGCTACAAGAATACCTAGAAGCCTCAGGTGAGACAAGGGCTTCACTGTGCTCAATAGAGTATACATGTTTAACAAAACTCAGTCTTGTCTGTGCAGAGCTGGCAATCTGATTGGGATGAGACAGAGGAGTGAGCAAGCAAAACGATTTCCTCCACATCACAAAGCAGTGCAGTAGCTGACCCAGGTGTCCAAAGTTTCAGTTCACCAGCCAGCCTTCTCGATTAAATGTTGTACATGGTGGAGTTAGTTTGTTTATTTTTCAGACGGTAGTTATGCCCTTGTAACAAAGGACTCTCAGAAAAAAACAGTCCCTTCATGGTTTCATGGACTCATTGATAGAAGAGAGATCCTGTTCACTCACCTTCCCTTCTCATGCCTAAGTGAGAACTTTGCAAAAGAACTTGGCAAAGACACAGAGAGCTGGATTCATTAGTGGATCCAGGAAACCATATCAAGCAACTTGATGAGAGAGGGCAGTTGTTGAACTTCAGCAGTGAAGTGGCAATCTATGACCAGCAAGAGCTTGTGGCTTTCCAGCAGTGTAGGTACAACTGAGCTTTGCTATGGCAAAGATGAGGCACAAAGGAAGGTCAACTTGCTCACGCCACAGGAAAAGTGGCTGGAAGGGGTAAAGCTTTGGGCCAAGTGTCCTCCTTGCATATCTTGGTCTTCTGCCAAAAGGCCTCAGAAAGAAAAAGCTACTCAGAAACACCAACTGATTGCAATCTGCTCTTCAGCTATCACTCAAGTGTACATGCGCTGAAGGTCACTCATCAAGCGATGGGGAGCAAATGTGCTGCTTTGGGAGCTGAAAGTTTGCATGTGTTCTGAAGACTGGAAGAACATTTCACCCACAGGCCACTGAACTGCTGCTGCCTGGCACAACAACATCCACTGGATGAAACCGAGGCCCTGTAAGCAGAACAACCTTTTACACAGCAAGCAAAACTTGAGAGACCCAGTCACTGTAAAATCTTGCTTCCCCTAATACCAGTATCTCAGTGAAATCTGTTTATTTTAAGACTCCTGTATCATAGCAGATCCCAGAGCTGCATTTTCTCTTGGAAAGAGGCAAGGTTTTATGTAAAAATATTAACTTTTCATGACATTTAGTCTCCATTTCTGTACAAGCTTTTGAACTCTGTCCTTCTGGTGCAGATAAGGACCAGCTTCTCCCTCAGTATAATTCTGCCTAAGACCATGCATTTACACTGGGAGTCAATTTTGTCCATACGGCTTGTGATTCTCAGGCAGAGGCTTATTGACAAGCACTTGCTGAAGATATTTGCATTCAGCAGGCTCATAAGCCACTGAACATCTGTTCTCTTGTTAGCAGCCTCCTCAGCGTTTGCCCCGTAGGCAATAATCTACAGGACAAGTTTCCCAGCACCTACACTACTGTAGGATAATTCTTTAACTAAATGGAAAGCAAAGCCCAAGGCCCTGGGAATTCGCTTTTGTACAATAATCTTTTGTGTGCATACAGTGGAAACCAGAGGATTATGGAGTCAAATCATGAGAATTCAGGTCAAGTGAGATTCAGGCGGGGAGGGAAAAGATGACAGAAGCACCAGTGGGAAGGTAGTGATCCCAGGAGAAGTAACGTGACGCTTGCAGATAAGCCTGTTCTGCTGTCATGGTTTAGTTTTACACATCAGTATTAAAATTTCTGAGCATTGCTGAAGATCAGCTCTCCCTTTACTGCATGAGGTTCTTTTGCATTGGATTTTTTTTTTCTCCTCTAGCAGCTGCATTATATTGGAGTATCCCTGTGTCTCAGTTATTTTTGTGTGCCATGCCTCCATTTTCTAGCTCTTTATTATTTTTTTGCAATCTGAGAGTTGGTGTATTTAAATCTCCTTCCTCCATTCAGCTCCTTGTTATTTTTCTCATTCTTGCACACTTAGCCTGGATCAAGGATTTCAAAGATCCTCCAGATACACAAAGCAATTCATTTATCTCCCTTGGACATTTGCTTAATGGAAGGAAGGAAGGAAATGTCATTAAAGAAAAGCACTATGAAAAATGTGATGCTGCTTTTTCTCTTTCTGGCAAGGGAATGATCTGGATATCCAGACCAACACCCAGAAACTGTATTCAAATGCCTGCCTGCTCTTCCTACAATGTAGAAAGACCCAGCTGAATCCAATCAGCTATTTAATGTGACCTTGGCTGATGAAGGCTGCTGGGCAGTGACTGCTGAGGAAATAGTGGAATAGAAGGTGTTAAATTAGACATGGATGTAAGCAAAGGAGAAAACAGCATCAAGGAAAATTCACAAGTCTTCTGCAAAACTGAGCAGCTCTACTGCTTATCTGAACGTGAGGATTTTCCTTATCTTTTTAAGATGGGCAATATGGCTAAAAGGTTGTGTTTTACCTGTGGCATAAAATCCTGTCTCAATGGCTGTATATGAGACTTGGAACAAAACGTCCTCTCTGCTGCCTCTGTGAAATCTAGCATGCTAAGCAAGACAGGACAAAGCCACTGCACAAAGCAGCTCCATTTTCTGCTTTGCAGTGGCGGTGGGCACAAGAGTAAGAGTCTGTAGGTATTTAGACCACGAAAGTGCTGCAGGCTGCAAAATGCAGGGTTTTGTTTTGCTTTGTTTTGTTGGTTTGTTTGTTTGCTGTGGGTTTGGGTTGGTTGGGGCTTTTTTGGTTGGTCGGTTGGTTTTTGTCACACATTTTACCACTTCTAGGAAAAGAGTATATGAATCTGCCTGGACAGGAACTCTTCATTTTAAGAGTCACATGTGATTTTAATTATTAATTTGTCTTACTTGGTGTACCATACATTTACTCACTGTCACGTTATTTGCATAGGTGTCATGTCCTAAGTTAGCCCCACACACAGGCTGTGTCACTTAAGAAGAGATAAACATTTTGCTTCCCTGTCATCCTCTGCAAGAGAATATAAACTTAAAGCCTCTCACAGGCAAAACCAGAAATTACCTTGTTAGTGCTTGTTTTGGTTGAAAGAATGATCAACTTGTAGTCTAATAAGTAATGTATATTATTGCCCTAAGGAATAACACAATCTTGATTGTTGCAAAGTCATAGATTTGTGAGGAAAGACCAGAACTAAGGTTGTTCAACGAATCATAATTCAGTCTTCCTCAGTGTGTGTTACGAAAGCCCTGAGCTGTGTGCCTACATCCTGGTTTTCCTAATGCCTTTGAGATATTCTGTGTTCTTGTTCTTTTCCTTTGTGTCCCATTCTTAGTTGGTTAGTTCATATGTTCCAGATGAGCACAAACTGCATGGTGGGCCAGGGAGGGGGGCAGGAGGGATAATATTCTTCATGGGGAGTAACCTACAGTTTGGACATCGTATTTTAAAAGTGTGGTACAGAGTACAGATGTTATGGGATGTATTAGCTTGGTCTACAGGGAGCTACATCCTGTATTGGATGAAATGGTTTGACCTCCCCTATTGAAATGCTAATGTTTGTCCATTTCCTCCAGCAAAGTGAGTCTCATTATTTCTCATTGTAGCCTACATTTACCCTTCCTCCAGTCTACACCACCCTGACCTCAGAGTTTCTGCTTTTCAAATATGCACTTAGAATTTGTCTGCTATGTGACCATTTTATGAGGTGATATCATGAAGTATAAGTATGTGTTCCAGCTGTGTTAGTGACCCTGCCTATAAACCAAGGAGGCTGGCTAAGCACACTCTTGCCCTCCCACTTAATGTGACTCAAGACAAGAAGATGCAGTGATCCAGGGTGCAAAAGTGAAAGAGAGTGAAAAATCCAGATTAGACCCTGGGAAAAAAAAAAACCTCTAAGTGAAACTGACTTTTTATCTCCTTGTGTCTTCATGTTGACACTACATTAGGAAGGCTGACATCAGATATCCGCAGAGGCCCAAATCCAATTTTGAATCAAATGTAAAGACCAGCTTGTAAAGGCCAAGAACGAATTGCTTCTGCCAGAAGAAAAATTAGCACAGAAACAAGCTTATTTTCAGAGAATCTACTGGAATAACTACCTGATGCCTTAATAAGGATTGTCCTTGTCTGATTTTTTTTTTTTTTTTCCCAACTTACTGAAAGTTCAGGCTTTGAAATGACCACTCTGCGTAAGGAACACATCCGTCCCCAGATTTGTTGCATGCAGTAATCTGTAGTCAAGGTTACTTTAGTTAGCACTGAGATGGGCTGCCCTTTTTATCTTCTGGGCCTGTTTTAACACTAATCCCCAAACAAATACTTACAAAAGCTAAACAGATATGTGTCTGTCCTACTTGCTTCCATTTACATGTGAGAAGCTGCAGAGATTTTGTGCCTCTTAGCTGTCATGCTATTTCTTAGTGCCAAGTTCTCATATTGCTTCACTTCTAGGCCATTTGCTCTTGCAGAAGATTTAGGTCATTGGATTTTCAACCTATTTTGATTTGTGGACCCCTAAAAATTTTTCCAGCAGTAGTGCAGGCTCCTTTAGGAATTTCACATATGTCAACTGCTGTCTGGCACATATGAATTTGTTTTTTTCTCAATCACTTTTTGCAGACTCTTTAGAAGTTTTCCATGGGCTTGCCAGGCTCTACAGACCATAAACTGGAAACTAGTGATTTAAGTGAGCTCTTTGAACCGTTACTCCTCCATGTATACATTGCTGTAAAAGATGAGAATGACATAAAGTGAGTAACATCAAGGCCAATGTTTTGGGGTACTACGACTTTCAGTACTTTTACAGTCTGTCAAACTTGAATGCAGGGTGTTTAAGCAACCAACATTCACATATGAAAAAATACATGGTGATGGTGTACCAACACCCACGTTGTCCTGCTGTCTTAGTGGCTTTGAATGCTGAGCTGTGGGTGTTCCAACACCCCCATAAATCATAATCAGTTGCCTCCAAAGCTTTAGCTATCAAATGCTACATGCTTTTTCGCTTCTCTAAGCCTAGCCCAAATAATGGTCTACAGCATGACTTCTTTAGATTGAGAGCAGGTTTAGGAGGAAATGTGGGATAAAGTCCATTCATAAATCAGCTTTCTCCTGGCATTGTTTTATGTACCATACCATGAGAACTACTACTCCTTTAGAACCCACCAAATCCTCTCTCCCGGCTGACGGAATGCTATTAGTAAGCAACACCATCCTTACCATAGTAGACTGAGCTTGCTAGCCTTTCTAGCCCTAGTATTTATACAGCATCAGAGTAGTGTATCTTCTCCCACTCATCACTTTGCTATTGGTGAACAACATCGAACAGCTTAGAACTGAGGAAAGACTGCTGTTAATTATTTACGCTGCTTTAGCAGCTGCATGCCCCGGTATTGACCATGTCTCTGCTACATGACATTCAGCACATGTGAAACAGGTGGAGGGTCTATATGCCAAAGATCACCCAAGTTAAGCATGCAGCAGGAGATAACAAGTGGGTATCAGTGATAGGTGATAGGAACAGTACATAAGATAGTGTATTAGCCTACGGTCTTGGCATGCCATCTAGTCAGCCAGTGATAGGTGCTTTTGTAGGTATCAGCAGAAAAAAGCTTTGAAGGATGATGATTTCTGTAGCTGTTACAGAACATTTCTATACTGGAGGAATGGCAGTTTTTGGGGAAAAAGCTTATGGTAGTTGTGATAAAATGTAACAGAGTTGATAAAGACTGGCAATGTGGCTGATTGGAGTTAAGCTCTGACTCCTAAAAGTGAATTTAAGATGATAGGCTGAATGGGCATAAGGTCAAAACAGGTCTTGGAAATGAATCAAATAGCTTTTCCCTTACTTCAATAGAGAATGGTGAGTCAAAGCAGGGATGTACATATAAAGTGATCTGGTCAAAGCAGGGCACTGGCTAGGAAAAAGAATGAGGCAAGACATCAAAGAACAGAAACAGAGGAGAGAATAATGCAGCAGTGGCGATGCAAAGTGAAGAGAACCTAGTTAAGAGTTAGAGCATGGATGGCAAGAAAATATTATGTATCTTTTTTGTCACACAGGAAGAAACTATAGTTGTGTACATTTTTTTACCAGGAAGGCCCAGAACGAGGTCCAAGTTGAAGATGACATCCAACTTGCATTTCTTCTTCTTTAGTTGGCATCTGTTTTAAACCTACTATTCCCTAGCCTGAGACTGATCTCAAGGTCACTGTTTTGATTCTACTCTTATCCCTCCCGCCAAGAGGTTTATAGAGCTTGGTGATCTTTATAATGAAAGTATAGTGCCCATCAGCTGATACTTCCAGATTTTCAATTTTCTTTTTGGCCTCCTAAGGCTTTAATATGAAACCTTACATCTCACTGTTCATCAGAGCTACTGCTCCTGAATTATTGTCGATTTCCTCTTAATATCCACAGCAGGGATTTTTAATAAATCAAATAAAAAAATAAAAAAATGCTGTCCTATACCCCAGAGTTGATGGATCTGAATTCCTGCCAATGATAAGACAGACAAGATGTTATGGGACCTTTTGTTTTTGTACAGGATGTAGAAGACAGACTCCTCCCTTTCTCAGGAGGCAATAACTAAACCAGGTTAATGAGCAAGCCTGCATCTCCAAAGGTAATGCAAAATAAAAATACCAATGTGTCTCTAGACTATGCCATTGAGAGAAAACAAAGAACAGGATAAAATATTCCATTAATCCCAGTGTCTAGCCAGTAGATGATGCAATTTAGGGCACACTATCATTTACAAAAACAATGACTAGGCTTCTAGGTATGTACTGCAGGTGATATCTAATTCTTATCTACTTGTCTCTGGCTCAGTATCTACACCAGTCAATTTAGAGATCATTACACTGTACAATATGTAAAATAAAAACAAACCCCATTAAACATCTTGACTCTATGTTGCTCAGCCTGCTGCTCTATCAGGCTGTGATTTAAAGACCTATGTACCTCAACAGCTTGGGAGGAGGAACTGTACTCAGCCTGTCATTCCCATTTCCTTCAGTTTCCTTTTCTGCCTCTACATTCCCTTTCTCCATATACATCTTGAAAAGGGGATCTGTCCCCCTTGTACCAGGGCCAGTACTTCCTGGGGTTGTTGTACAGCAGTCACACAATGCATTACAGGGATGTTCACCTGAGAGGAGATGTGCAAGGCAGAGTACCTGGATGGGTGAGCTGCTTATCCCAAACTCCACCAAAGTGTGCTCTCCTTCCCCCAGAAGAGCTGATAACTTTCAGCACCTGCTTTCCAGGAAGAAGGCTTGGAAAGCTTTAGCAATTGCTACAGCTCCCTACATAGTCACAGAAATCACTTCAAGCATTCAAGCGTTTGGTCCATGAATTCATTGTGCTTCCACCGCAGTGCAAAGTTTTGCCTGGTCTAGACAAGTGATCATATTTTCAGGTGATGCAAAGTTGCTTCTCAGTGAGTGCCATGGTACTGCACTGGTATGTGCAGCTGAGAATTTAGTGAGGTGATTTTTTGGTATAATGAGCATCTCTTCTGCATACAATGTTAACTGACAGCCCCAGACGCAAGATTGCTTAATAATGGATTAATACAATATTTAAGGGTGGGTTTTTTTTTCCATTCTGAAGATGTCCATGCTTATATGATGCTTCAGATTAATTATGTTGGTTTTCTCTGCTAGCATTGGCTTTTGATACTTATCTCAAAGTAAGAAAAGTAAACTTACATTTTCAATTGAGGCGACCATGTAAGTATATATTAGGGATTTTTGTCTTTTACTATTGGAGCATTATAGAAGTTTTCTACTTAAATAATTATCCAGCAGAGATTTCACTGTCAAGTAGAAGATAACCAGGCACTCTTTCAGTAATATTTCTAATGTGGTAGGTGAAAGACCCAGAATAGCTGGACTGTGTGATTATTTTAACTGCTGTTTTGGTATATGAAAAATGTGAGCAGTGAAATGTGGAAAAGGTATATATTTTATTATATTACTTCTCAATGATTTTCTCTTGCTCCTTTGCCTGGAAACAGTGATTAGATTGATTTTTCTCATGTAGCAAATAGACTTCCCTAAGAGTAAAGTGGTCACTTGTTCAAAGCAAAGTGTCTGGTTTAAGTGATAGCTCCCTATTTTCTGAGCCAGTGAAACTTCTGCTCTGCTGTAATGACATTTACAGACATCCTACATGGGGCTGACATTCCCTGCAGACCTGTAGAAAACCTGATGACACTCCTGATCATTTTTCCTTCAGCTTTTCCACATCAATTTAGTTGTGTGCAGGTTTCTGCCCTTATTCATAAGCCAGTTGAAGCTACATAGAGCTGTCACTGCACTTCTAACTTCTTCCTTCCCCAAGGTCTCTTTCTTTCAAAGGCTGAGATGAATGTATGTCTCCACTCAGCCACTCTTAAAGCTCTCTTCCAAGAGATGTGTCCTAGCTGAACTTAGCAGAGAATGTATATGACATCAATTGTAGGACCAGTCAGTACTGTTCCTGACTGCAAAGAGAGACACTCACAAATGAAGAGCTGAGAAATTTCACTTTAAACACTGGTGCCTTTGGCTCAGGCTGGAGGGGTGCATCACTCAAGCTACAGAGAAATGTACAGTTATGTCCTTGGTGTGGATAATTTATATATTTTTAGTTTCCAGTGGTGTTAATTTGGCACCCCCTGGAGGAAATATATTTGAAAACACTTACAGGAAGGAAATACTTTAAAAATCCCCTTTGATAAAATTGATTCTTTAACTAGACTGTAAATTTTCCCAGTTATCTATGGAGAAGGGAGTCTGCAGAAATATTCATGTAATTTTTCTGTAGGCAGTTTTTCATCCTGAGATAATACATGCAATTTTTTTCTTCCTCAGACTAAACACGTCAATCTAAGACTGTGACTGAAGAAGTGCTGGAGAATTTCTTGAACATCATGAATTAAATGATCAAAAAGAAAACTTGGAATGTCACCTATAAATGACAAGAAGAACCATTAAAGGAATCTGTGTGAACCTGGTCCAAGCCAGGTAAGAATCAGTATACATCCTCACTCTCAGGGCTAGGGTGGACTTATGCCAGATAAAATGGGGGAAGACCTTACTGTAGGGCTGTGCCTAGATTTACAAACCAAACCAATGTCTTAGAAAACCTAAGGCTATTAGAAATACGTCAATTTGCTAATTAAGTGGAATTGCTTTCTTTGTTAGACAGAAATGGCCATCTGCTGGGCTTGCAAGCTAGCTACAGAGTTTGATGCTCAGAAACTAAAAAATGCCAAAGGCAAAAATTTAAACCGCTTTGCCCATCCAGGCTGCAAGAAAAGAAGGACATAAATAATGCCAAAACGTGCATTTTAGACAGCTTTAAAATTCTACTTGAATGTAACAAAATAATGTGATGTTGGCAATTTCCAAAAAAGAAATGTCAACAAGCTGTTTTAATTATTGTCATTTGATAGCTTTCTTTAGGAAATACCTGGCTGCATTTACAATGTGGTTTCAAAGAGAACTGGCCATGTTGTCTGCCAGTGCTGCATCCAGAGAAGCTAACCTGTGAAGTCTCAGTAATAATTGCATTATTTTTGATCTCTGTCAGCTGAGCACAGAGCAATCTCTTCTTTAGTCCTTCTGGCCCAGCTACAAAGCTCAATCGTGGTCCTGGCTGAAAGGAACTTTTTCCTGGGAACTGCTTTGTTTCATTAGCTCCAGCATGTATGCTTTTTGTGTGTTGGTTTTGTTTGTTTTCCCAGAAGGTCCTCTGAATTTCCCAGGAGTCCTTCCTTTTGACCTAAACTCATTGCTGCATAACCTCGTAACTCACGGGTAATTCAAAGTCTTTGCAGTGAGCTAATATGGAGAGAGTCACACCACAGGAACTGCCATGCTAGTTTCCTCTAGATCAAAAGTTTCCCAGACACTAGCAGTGGTCAGAAATGGATGTCTAGATAAACAGCATAAGAAAAAGGACATAAATGATTCTTTTCCTGTTCCCTTCTCATATGGTGTCTCTGGCTGTCTTCCTTTCTCTAGGAGATAATAATCAGGGGCTGGCTGCTTGACTCAGAAAACCCTTTGTGTTAATAGTGCATTTCTCACTTACAGCATGGCAGGAACACAGATTATCTGCAGGACTGGGCTAGCAGTTACTTGGAAATGCCTGACTAAAAGGCTGTCCTTTCCATGTTTTCTTTTACACTACAAAGCTGTTTTTCCTTCCCACAGACAAACAGCCAGGAGTAGAAAACCACAACTGAAGATGGCTGTATGATAACATTACTCTTTCTGGTTTAGGATGATGTCTACATAGTGTATTTTCCATGCAGAACACATAATTATTAGTTTAATCATGAAAGGTGTTTTCCATGTTGCGTTTGCCAGATCTGATGTTAAGAATTTTATACTGCTTTCAGCAGGGGTGAAAAAAATTGCAGAGAAAATTAAACAGCATCAGTCTTTCAGAATGTTATCTATCACAGGTCTCTATCACAGGGTGACAGAGAGCTCCAGACATTAATGCAATACCAATACAATTAAAACTTTGCAGTAGCTTTTGAGTAGCTGCCTGTAGGTCCTTTTCAACTGGACTGATTTCTGTGTTGTTCTTTATCAGGAACTCCAGAATTTCTTTTGCTAGAACCAATATCGGAAGTGGCAGTTTGTGGCTTGTACCCATCTATGCATCATGGAGTATTTTGAAACTGCTGGTACATGCAGTAGTTGGTAGGAAAAATAAATACATAAATAATATTTATAGATTCCCCCCCCCCCCCCCCCCCGAATCTAATATATGGGTATCTACACAACTGAGAACATGAAAAACTAATTCCATCTAGAATGACCTGGATTCTGGAAAGAAGGACAAGGGGGAGGTATATTGCTAAAGAAACATTAACTGATGGAACAGATGGGAAAGATGGCCTGTAGAAAAAGATCCTGTGCATTCTGCCCAGCTCAGGAGGATGACAAGTACAAAATAGGCCTGTTGAGGGATGGTTTATTTGGAATGTCACATAAAAACTACCATGAGCTGGGAGGGAAGTGTCATCAGTGTACACTGAAAGCAGTTACAGGAGTCTGCTGTTCAACTGCACATAGCAGCAGATCAGTACATCTCTAATTGTTATTTGTCTGTCTGGCTAAGCAGCGCAGCATTTAAAACCTAATTTGTTGTATAATTTAATTTTAATTGAGTCTCCTATCCACACAGGACTTGTTAAGCTAGCTGTATGTTTCACTTGCTGTCTTTTTACATGGATACTATGGGAGAGCTGCAAGAGCTGAACCAATCGTTTGCTTGCACTGTGCTATCACCAAGGTGCAGTAATTCCTTGGTGTGATTGCAGAGGGATCTCCTGGCAGGAATATTTGGAAAATACGTTTTCTCAGTGCCACAATATAACAAAACAACTTCCTCCCTCAGCTAATGCTATGGTTTACACAAAAGATTTGGTTGTTAGGCTTTAAGTTGCCTCCCCCATGTGCTTCTATTTTCCTCTGCCACTCAGAGATAACAATTACAAGTCACTGTGAGCAGTAATAAAAATGAAGCACCATGACAATGCTTTTGAGTGAGTGTAACTTCCACTGATGTGCCTCTCTTCAAATATGTAAAAGACACTAGTCCTCAGTGAGGACAAAGTTGAAAGCAAGCAGGGTATTTTACAGACAAATCCTTTTGGAGGAATGCAGACAGGCCTCAAAGAACCAATTCTTTTCAGCAGCATTATTACAAAGGGAGGAGTTATAGACTAAGGTCAGTAATGAAAAGCCCTTAAGTATGTGCATCAATTTTGACTTGCATGAGTGCCTGCATTTTCTGCTGAACCAAGGCACATGCCATTGAGAACTGTGAAGCAATACGGTGCATTAGGTATCAGTTTCAACTGCAGATCCAAAACACTTTTGTATTTGATCAGTTTTGCGTATATCAGGCATCCCATGCAGCTCTCTGGTACTGCTGTTAGGTTCATGTGGCCAAGGGGATCTACAGGGCTTCCAGGAAAGGTTAAAAGAAAAGCTAACTCTGAGAGCTCAAGGCTATGAACCAAGTAGGAGTATCAAAGCAAAGGATTGCACACGTCTTTGTTTCCAGTGTTCTGTTTCTGTTTTCATTCCTTCTGATTGTTGTTGATTCCATCAAGGGTCAGATCAAGGGAAGAAAGTCTGACGAATAAGAAGTCTTTCAGCAGATCGTGAGGAAGAGACTTGAACTGCTGGGACAGGTCTGGCAGAGGAAAGGCAGCTGCTGCTGGAAACCACCCAGGCCCAGCTGGGCGGGCAGGCGTGAGGGGCGACTGCCGGAGGTAACTCAGCTGTGGGCTGTGATGGGGAGAGATGGTGCCACCCCATGGGACTTCAGGACCTAAGGTGAGAGCGGGATGTGTGAGTGACGGGGTGATTTGTTTTGCATCATTTTAGCTCTCTGAGATGGCTCCCAGTGGGACAGAGAAGGTGGGAAGAGAAAGCAGGGACCTGGGGAAATGAGAATGAGCATGATGAGCACTCAGGCTAGTTAGAGCGGTGGGGCAGGGAGCATGGGCCCTGCAGGCCCTGCTGGTGCAGCACCACGGGAAGCGTGGCTGCAATTGGGGAATCAATGAGATCTTCCACTTTACCTTTTGTTTGGATGCTTTTGTCGCTGGCTGGGGTTGGGTGTTTTTTTTTTGTTTGGCGGTGGTGGTTGTTTTTTGGCTAGATTCCACTTACTGTAGAAGAGGAAATGAGGTGGTTGTTGGGGCAACAAAGAGCAAAGGGACAATTTTAAGGTGCAGAAAGGTCCACTGCTTGCTTTTGCCCCGTTTGCATCAGGTTTTGGGTTCTAATAGTCTCCTGACTGAAACTGGGGCTGCCCCTCAGGGTGCGAACTGCCACTGACAGGCCCTTACCCCGCCTCAGTGTGAACTTTCTTTCTAAAGCATGCCCCTGAAACAGCAGGTATGTTTGTTTTATTTAGCCGCTGCCAGCAAACTTACGACTCTTCAGCATCGAAGTGTTAAACTACAATTATTTTTCCCTGTATGTGACCAATTAAACGACCCCAGATGGCTGCCCTTACAGCTCTCTGAGGCGCTCGGTCCGCCCGCAACAAAGATGGCGCCGAGCCCCCACTCAAGATGCCCGCTGAGGCGTCTCCGCCGCCCGAGCCCCGCTACAGCCCTTCTCGTCCCTACGCAGGGCGGCGCGCCGCGGCCTCGCCGGAAACCGCGGCGCTCTAGCCCGCGGGGCTCGGTGGTTTCCGCCGGAAGGTCCGCCCCTGCCCGCGGTGCGTTCCGTGCGGCCGCCGCGCGCCGCCTCCAATGGCAGGGCTGGCCCTGCCCAGCCAGGATCAGCTGATGGTGGCAATGTCTGTTGACAGGAGCCGCCTCGGCCGCGGGACTGGGTGTAAGGGCTGGCGCCGAGGGGAGGGGGCGCCGGGCTCGAGGGGCGGGCGGAGGCGGCCGGGGAGTGCGTGTGGGGGCGCGGCACCCCCTGCCCTCCCCTCGCCGCCCTGAGAGAAGTGAGAGGGGGCGAGGAAGGGAAGGGGGAGGCCGATCCCCCTCAGGCGGGGAGCGGCCCTGTGGGGTGGGGGTTCGAAGGGAGAGGGGGTGGTCTGGCTGCGGGGGGCCGAGTGGCCTAGGGGGAGGGCTTTCCTACGGCACACAAAAGGCAGCGGGCAGGGCCGGGCCGGGCCGGGGGAGCCTGCGGGGGTGTGAAGGGCTGCGGGGCTGTGGCGCTGAGGGCCCGGCCCCCGGCAGAGGCAGGGGGAGGGGGCTGCGGTGCGGCTGCCGGCCCCGAGCGAGCCCTCTCCCCCCAGCCCGGGTGCTGTGTGACGGTGTGGTTTGGGTTGGCTTTGTTTGTTTTTGTCAGATGTGAATCCAAATGGAGCACTCGGAAGGAGGCGAGCAGAGCCAGCAGCAGCAGCCCTGGGGGAAGCTGATCCGGCTGGGTGCTGATGAGGCAGAGCCACACGTCTTGCTGCTGAAAAGAGAATGGACAATTGGTCGGAAGAAAGGTGGGACAGGGACACGCTGGTTAGGGCGGTGTTCGGGGGACAGCAGAGACCTCCCCCCTGGCCTTTAAAACATCAGAAGGATTGAAACTAGAGGGGTTTGGTGCTTTCAGCTGTTGGAGGTGCTTGTCAGGCTGTCTCTTATTCCTCATTTACCTCTTGGCTCTGTGTGAAGACAAAGTTTTACGCTGACCATTTCACCGACTTGTGACGTGTGCACGCTTAAATGCAAGTGTGCCTTCTAGTTTGTTTGTGACAGTCTGTACAGATAAGAAACAGCAATTGTTGATTCAGAAGAGTTTCTGGGTATCAGTCCTGTTTACGTTCTCATTTTGTTTCTGTGGTTAAAATAAATTGGAACTGCAATGCAAAATGCTTGGGCTTCACAGAAAGGAAAACGCCCACATAAAAGCCCTTAATTCTTCAGGCCATGTGAAGACTGCCAACAAGTACTGAAAGTTTCTCTGAGAGGGAATGCTAAAGCTTTATTCCCAGAGTCCAGGGCTTTTACTATTTGCCTGTATTTTAAAGTATTTCATGCTTACTGTATTTAAAACAGTCATTGCAGTGTTTTGATTTTTTTACTCTGCCCTGACAGATTTTTTTCAGTTTCCTGTTCATCAGTTCAAGCTATTTGACTGACCAGTCACATTTGTATAGTGTTGAAGAAACACTAGATGCTGTAGCTGTATGAGAAATACAGATAATTTCTCACACATTATTACCTACTATTTCCTAATAATTGTAGAAAAAATGTTTTGCATATTCACATTTGGAAAGGTATGTTTAGTTTGCTTATCATTATCTAAGCTGTAGGTCAATTCTTCAAATTGAGGTGTAGTTGAGGGTTATCTTGCAGGAAGAAGATAGATTTTTACATGTTCTGTTGATTCCATAACTGTTTGCTAATGGATTAATGAGTGGTTACAAGGATACCAACCTTGGGGTCATAAATACTGTTTAGGAAATCTTCAGGAGCATTACAAATGCTTGTTGAGAGCACTTTGCCCTTCCTGCTCCCATGTGAAAGTCTAAATAAGTCTGTAGAATAGAATAGAAATGTTGGCATGTTCCTTAACAAAATTTAGTCTGCTTGCTTTCAGTGGGCTTCCTAGCATCACAGGTTGTGTGGCAGCAGTTAACTCTGTAGTTGTTGACCGTTCCTTGAATACTAGGAGTAGAGAAATGATAAACTGTCATCAGCATGTGTAGTGTTTTCCTTCTGGATACATTCTTGCAGGCTGAGATGAAGTGTACCCACAGTGTGAATAGATGGAAGTGAATCATGTTTTGTTAATTGTAGCTTTTGTGTAAGCAAGTACTTTGAGTCATTTGTGCAAGAGGTTGGTGGAGATTCTTGAGCATTGCCTTGAATAGGCAAATAAGTGAAGTGGAAATACTAGATTTTAAATTGAGTGGTACTTGAAATGAGTACCATGAGTTTGCAGTAGTCCTGCAAGGAGCAGGAAGTTGGACTCAATGATCCTTATTGATCTTTCCAACTCAGGATATTCTATGATTCTAGATTCATTCAGAGCCCTGGAGTTACAGGTAGGAAGGTTTCTGTCAGGTCAACATTGTCATTGCACTTCTGCATCTCTAAATCTTAGTCCTGGATTTTTAATCTCCCTTCGGCTTTATTAATATAATCTTGCTGTCAACAGTTTTTAAAAACAAACAAAAGAAAATTGTATTTATAAAATTTATATATAAATTGTATTTATCAGCTGTTGGTTCCAGCTACTTTCGTACAATATGCGTACCAGAATGAAGCAGAAATTAAATCCAATGAAACAGTCTTAAACTGATGTAGAAAAGAAGCTGACTGCTCTGTGATGTATGTCTCTAGAATTGAACATTTCAAATATGTGTGAATTTATCCCTGTTCCACTTTAGAACAAAGTAATTGTGACTTGATTTCCATCTGTAAGGGCTAGCACTGGTGAGAAAAGGGAACTAAACCATCTTGAAATGGTTGCAATAAGCCTATATCACCTGGGGCTATCTCACTGCTTATATTTATGTATCACATATTACACTGTGTTGCTGCCTATATGCAGTAGAAGTTTTGAACTACTGCAGATGTATATGAGTCAGTTTGCTGTGCATTTATAGCTGTGTAGAATGCTAATCTGTCTGTGTAATGTGTATTTTTAAGCACACTGGAAAATCTGTTTTTTTTTAAGGTTGTGACTTATCTTTTCCTGGCAACAAGTTGGTGTCTGGAGATCACTGTAAAATTGTAGTGGATGAAGAATCTGGTCAAGTGTCATTGGAAGATACAAGGTTGGTTCTTCTGTGAACTTCTGCTCTTATTTTCTTTTTAATCTTTGCAGTAAAATCTCGTGTATTGGTCGAGACATCAACAGTAAATCCTTCTCTTTTTTGGTTTTTATTTTTTTCCCTACTTTTACATCTAGGTTTGGGGTGTTTTTTTTGTTCTTTCTAAATATATTTTTCTTTACAGAGGAATTCATAGTCTACTGGATGAAAAATACTGTTGATGTAATAGTTCAGTAGCATATTTCTTTAGACTTGTAGACAAAAAATGATGCCAGCATTCTTAAAAACTCTAAGCATGAGCGTGCCTCATCTCAGGTTTTTGTGTAGGGAAGAAGATACCTGCAGTGAGGATCTCAAAGCATAAAATAGATGTGGAGTAAAAATATGTCCTTGTTATACATCTTTCTGGTATTCAAAATATCTGTAGTCTATATAGCGTAAGTACTGTAGCACTCTAGCAGTTGTGGTGGGCATGTCAGATGAAGATTAGAACCTGTTCAATCTAATTTAATAATAAATGATGTTTGCTGGATTTCTACTATTGATATTTCAGGTTTGTTTCTTTTGTTCAACCAGAACGATTATTTTCTTTTCTGGGTGTTTCTGTGTTAAGTTAGGGGTGTGAGAACTAAAGCCCTTAACATAGAAAGATATAAGGACATACTTCACTGGAACTACTGTTAAAAAGCTAAGCTAATTTAGTGAAACTGCTTTTAGTATATAACATCAATTACATATTTCTTCACATACTGAATTTCAGTGAACTTGCTATACCGGTGAGGCTATTCCCTGTAGCATTCTAAGGCTATTGTGGGAATACAAACAGCATTGCAGGGGTTGTGGGTGGTTTCCAATGACTTTTAGCTTGTTTTCTATTTTTCTTTATAAAATTTGAGATAGGAGTTTGTACGGAAGCATATTTCTTAGGAGGATAACTTTCAAATTTTTCAAATGTTCATCTGCTTTATTTTTGACAGGATTTTTTATCTAAGATTGCCAGAAGCTTCTGGTTTATTACGTTTCAAGAACTCTGTGACATTTTAAAATGCTTCTGTAAACCACATTCTTTTTCTGCCAGGTTATTGCAGTCAGTAAAGAAACAATACTTTCTGCCAGCTCCCCCCATTTTTCATGCCTGGAAGGTATTTTACCCAGAGATGAAGAAGATTTCAAAAATATATTGATGTACATACATAAAGAGGAAATTCTCACTTTTGAGGTTTTTAAGGTATCATGCTGAATTCCTGTTCCAACCTACCAGAATGCATTTAAATGTATTGTAATGCTAGGTCAGGGTTAGTATCCAATACCTGCTGAGCTTTTGACCAAAAGCCCTTCAAGAACCTTTGAACTTGCCTGGTTGAATGGCGTATGCATTTGGGGAGGCACTGGCAGAATTTATGAGCTTTAGCTGATGGTTTTCTTTCAGCAGTTTTTGATCCTTTTCTGTCTCTTGATCAATTAATAGCTATGTTGATATTAAAAAGAGTCTTTTTCAGGGTGAGGAGCTCGCTTCTAGATATTTACATGGGCAATGCACTTCTTTGTATTTTATTTCCTCAAGTAAAACGGAACATACCGAATCATTCAAGTTGGAAGAGTTCATATACTTAGTTCAAACTCTATCAAAGATGGGCCACCACTGGATTTGGACAAGGTTGTTTATGCTTTCCCTAGTCAGGCCTTGAAAACCTCCAAGCACAGAGATTTTGGAGGCTTTCAGGGTCCTTATTGCAGACCTTAATTATCCTCACAGTGACTTTTTTTTTTTCTTTCCATCCATTTGAATCTTCCTTATTTCAGTTTATGACCTTTATCACCTCAGTAAAGAGCTTGCCTCTGTCTTCTTGGTAATATTCGCATAGGCACTGGAAAGGTTGCTGTCAGGTCAGTGGCTCACCAAGCCACCTTCTCCCAGGCAAAAACAACCCTAGTTCTCCAAGCACCTTGGGTCACAGGTCTTGTGCTCCTGACCTCTGGTCATGTCAGTGGCTATCTGCTGGATTTGCTCAAGTTTATTAATCTCCCTTGTACTAGGTAGCCCCAAAGTAGATGTAATGTTTTAGATGTGCACTACTGAGTTCCAAGTAAAGAGGAATAATAATCACTTGAGTTTCTGACTACACCCCTGTTAATGCAGCCAAGTGTGCTGTAGGCCTTCATCACTGCCAGGGCATGCTGCTGACTTAAGCTTAGGCATAAGTCCAAGGTGTATGATCTTATGCTTAGTCATAAAATCCATCAAAACCCCTTGCTGATTGGTCTCTAGCCTGTACTGTTGCAGGTGGTTATTCCATTCCAGGTGCAGGACTTATGTTTTTTCCTTATTCAATGGTACGATGTTCCTGTCAGCCCATTCCATTAGCCTTCCTGAGTGCCTCTGAATGGCAGCCCAGCTCTGCCCCTCCTTTGATGTCATCCACAAGCTTGATGAGGATGTATTTCTTCTCCACTTCTTGGCTGTAGCTAGAGAAAATAGCCAAGTCCCTGGATAGATCCCTTCTGTACTCTCTGAAGCTGTGAGATGGAATGCTAAGTTTTAGGGAAAGGTGTCAGGCCTAGCTAGGATGTCTAGGAAATGCCTTGTAATTGTCATTCTCCAATGTTATCCCAAATGTCAAGATATTTCTAAATAACAAATTGGGTCATGTTTGCCTAACACGGCAGTCTCAGAGCATAGCTGTGAATTGAAGCTTGAGAAACCATCCCTAGTTTCAGTTGCATGTAGCTGGTAGAATTGTTTTAGATGAATGTCATGATAATACAAACTAAAGAAACTGTGAATGATGCAGAAACATTACTGTGTTTTTTTCTTTTGTAGTTGTTACACCACCCCCTTCCCCTGAGGCAGAAGGTGCAGCCAGCAGAAAAGTAGCAAAACTAAATTAAAGTTAATTTTCCATCTGATAGATTCATGAAAAGGTGGGGCTTATTACAATGGTAAATGAAAGGCTGCACCTATGGAGTACTACCAGGTAGCTGCTTATGCATGTTAGGCTTCTGTGTATCTAACAAAAAGGAGTAAGATCCTTTATGTGTTCTGCTTGCCTATGAGTTGGTATGAAATGTGGCTACCATTTGCTGAATTAAAAGACTAAATGGGTTGATATGACTGCTTGCGTAAGGCAGCTCTCCTGGGTCTTCCAATTATTTGTGCCAAATATCAGATGAGCTCAAAAAAAATCAGGCAGGCTGAAATAAGAAGATATTTGAATGTTTGATTTGGCAATACAGATGCCCAGAGTCCCAGGAAAATACTGCAGAGTCAGCTTTTTCTTCTCTGAAGTGGAAAATAGTTTGGAAGCATTGCTGTGGTCAAGCTCAGTTTTTTTCTGGTGAAGAGGAATGCACTGAAGGAGGCAACTAGTGTCAGGACAGTTGAATTGAATGGACTTTGTTTCTGCATTGTAGCTAAACCAAAGAATATAGTCAAATACAGGTAGACAGCCAACACTGGTTTTTATCTCCCTAGTAGCATAATGAGTTCTTGCATCTACTTTGGAAAGAATTACCATGAATTTGCAGGTGAAAGAAAATGTGTAGAGAACTCAAAATTATTGAGTAAATAGAAGCTTGGGAGTAACAAAAGCCAAGAGTTAGCAAATAGTACAATAAAAGATTCAGACTCGCCCTTTTTTGGGGGGTATGTTTCTGCTTTATTTTCCAAACCATGCACTAGTTGCTTTATACTGCTTGAAAGAAAACAGATCATATAAGCTCACTTAACTCAGTTGAGGCAGTAATTGGCTTTCCCTAAGTAAAAGTGATTGTGAGGTTCTCTGTTTTGAAAAAGAAATATTAAAGGCAACTAAGGTCATTTTTTAGAGGCCTCCTCTTCTGGGATTTTTTTTTTTTTCCTTTTTTTTAAGGATTCTTAGTACCAAGCGGTGTTTCAGAGCAGGAAACTATACAAGGCTGATACTCATGTGGCAGGCAAGTAGATACTCCTTTCTGTGGGTAAATTGGAGGTTCATCTTCACTTGGTGCTGGTGTCCTTTCTGCAACTCAATTCTCCTCACCCTATCAGTCAAAACTATTTCTGTGAACATTAAAAGAATGGAGAATGACACAGAAGAGGTTTCTGTAGGGATTCTAGAAGAAGGGATTCTATAACTTAATAAGAGTTCAAAACTCATTTCAGTTTACAGTATGTTCAGGATAATATGCATTTAAATAGCAAATAACTATTAAAACTATTAACCTAGAAGCTTTACTGTAAATTGTATTTCTTCCTGGATGGATCTTAGTTGTTACTAAGAATGGAATTTTTTCTCCAAAGGATACCAGAGGATCTTACAACGCACACATCATTCACATATGTTAAGAGTAGGTGTGTTCCGAGTGAGATGTAGGTGTTCACATCAGTTTGTAGCTGTTCACATCAGTTCTGCCTAACAGTTGGGATTGGGAAGTGAAGGCAATGTATGATTCATTAATCAAACTGTAGTGTCATCAACTACATTGAAATTGAGTCAAGACCTGACTTTTTTCTTCCATTCTTTAGAAATTGTGACCTTTCATGACATTGTTTCACAACTCAGACAGTCTATATTTGATAGTACTGTTTTTTTTTTCTCCATGTCAACACTTGGCATGGCCAGTTGATATCAATTCAGGTTAAGTCCTAATGAATGGCCATCATATTTGGGATTCTCATTGTACTTTCTGCTTATTTTATGGGGACCTTTCTTTAATTTGAAACATCAGAAGAATGTACAAATGTCATAATTATCATGTTTTCCAAGAATACCTCACTAGAGTTGTTGTCCCTCATAACCATCTTGGAACTTGCCAGTCATGACAGAGCAGCTTCATAAAATACACTGTTGTGACATTTTTTCCCTATGTTAACTGACATATTAGGAGTAGGAATTGCTAAGGCTCAGTAAAAGACAGCTCTTGTTACCTGAGTTTAGCTGTTTTATTACCAAAGAAGATCTAAACGACAGCAAATGGGAGATGCATGTTACGTTTTGCCTTCTGGAAAACTAAGGAGGTCAAATTCATTTTTTCCTAGTTTTGTTAAAGGATCTCAGAGACATTTCAGGGATTGTTGTAAACTTTTCTCTTTCTTTGACAATTGAAAGAGGTGTGATTTTTGCTTTGACATAATCTTTTTCATATATTAAGTTAAAAATTAGTATAGTTTCTAACAGACTAAATTTTTTTTTCTTAATTTCCTTAATTGCTGAACTTTGCTTTCTTTTAGTGATGTGTCTCTTCTGCTGGCTCTTTAGCACTTCTGTCTTTCACGCTATTCAACATCTGCATGACTGATGTAAAAAGGCAGGCTTAAAATAGCTTTCTTGCTTAGAAGAGAAGCTTGAAGATTCCTTAATAGAGCACATGTCAGTGTGACCCAAAGATGATGTTGTTTGTTTCTTGATGTTTAAAATGGCTTTTTTTTCTTTGTTATTTATGTTCGATTAGTTGATTCAACCGTGTAGATAATAAAAGCAGTTCCAGAGGTAAGAGCAAGAGCTGCTATTTTGATCAAGACTTGCAGTTGTGATTCAAAAGGACTGCTTTTCCTTTTGCCTTTGTGTCCAAAGAGGTCCAAATTTCTAGTTTTCTTTCTGTGTTCCTGTTACTAAACAACAAGAGATTTTCCAGGTCTCTCTTAAAAGAAAAATAATGAGAAGGGAAAGTGCTGATTTCTAAATAACCGTCTCTCTGTTCTAGAGAGGAGCTGGCCTGTTTGAGAAGTCTGTGTTCTGGGCACAAGTGGTGGCCTCCAGAAGGTGGCAGCAGAGATTTGTTGTTGTTTCGTGCAGCAGCTCGTTCTGCTGGGGGGAAGTTGATTTTCTGTTCGTTTATATTTGGTACTAATTGCTGAGATTTTGAATGACAGAAGTCTGAAATTATAGAATGCTGTAGTCCTGAAAGAGGCTTATTGCAACTGAGTTGGAATTATTCAGAACTTTAAAACTTGACTTGGTTATAAAACACTAATAGCTTGTGTATAAAACATCACCCATAGTGAAGGAGATGCCTCTGTTAACCAGAAATGCACTCTCCTCTTTCCCAATTTAATTTCTTCCACGACTCTTGAAGTTCTTGTCGAAATAATTTATTCCAACTCATTTGTTAATTATGTGTAACTGTTTTTCCACCTTATTAACTTCTCACATACGAGGTGCAAACAATCTAAATAACCTCAGAATTTTAAGTTTCTTACTATTTTAAGCAAGAGGGGAGAAAAATTAAGGCAGTGTGGCATCCCTGACTGCACAGGTAAAGTTCCTTTGCAGAATGTCCTAGGAGATTCCCAGTTTTAACTGGAAAACAGCCTAAAACTTGTTGAAAAGAACTCCTGTTATGCTTTCCTGTTTTATACTTAAAGGGTTGGGATTATTGTACAGAAACAATCATCTAATTGTTTTGAGATATTGGCCAAATGTCTAGGATCTTTTCTCTGTTTGTTTGTCAGCTACCATCTCTTTACCAGTAGCTGCAAATGAGCTTTGAAGTCCTTTCTGTCGTTGAGAGCAACTTTTTGTTTCTGGGCTTTTCATCCTAGCTCACATTTTGCTTTTTGAGAGCCTGTAGTTTTTCTTCATTAAAAATATCTTGTGTTTTCCTTTCCTAGGTAGTTATGAAAACATTTATGCTAAGCTATCTTTTCTTTCTCTTTATAGTACTAATGGAACAGTCATTAATAAGCTGAAAGTGGTTAAGAAGCAGACATACCCTTTACAGACTGGAGATGTGATCTATGTTGTTTACAGAAAAAATGAGCCAGAGAACAGTAAGTAAATGATATTTTGGAAATGGCACACTTAGTGTTTGTTTTGGTTTTGGTTTTTTGAGTAATGAGAAAAAAGAAATACCAGTACAAATAAAACAGAATTACTCAATTTTAAGGCAAATAATTTGCTACTGTTTAAAAACAACTCTCTCTACAAGAGGTCATGGATGTGCCAGTTTTTACAGAGACAAGTCTGAGCAACTGTCTGCAATTGAAATGTGCCTAGAAGTAGTTTTGGAAGAACTAATGCATGGAATGGTAACTAATGAGGTCCTGATCATATGCCCAATGCTTCTTTTCAAAGTCAAATTGCTGGGGTAGTTAGTGATACTTTATATCTCATATTAAAGCAGCTTTGGGCACCAGAAGGAAAGGCTGCAAAAGCTTTTTGTTCTGTGTTGGGTTTTTTTTGGTTGGTTGTTGTTTTTTCCTTTGAAGAGGAAAGGAAAAATGGGGGCAGGTGGGCATAGCCCTATAGTGAAAGTAGAATTAGTAAACCTGGAAAAATATTTATGTGGTCTTAAAGAAGAATCATCCCTCTCATGCCTATAATTCTTCCAGAAATTCTTTTTAGGATGATGTAATGGAAATAACATAATTACGTTAAAAAAATAAATTAATGAGGTTCCTTCCCCAGAGGTTTTTCAATAAGCCTAGCTATTGTTGGGCAGAAAATAATGTTCTTTCACATGTTAACTGAATAGAAGTCAGGGGCCAACATTTAGGTGTAAGTGCTCAGTTTTTGCAATGGAACAAAATTAATAAAAGATTTCATGAATGACCAGTGTTGTCGCTTGTCTTAAAGATGTTCATCAGTGATTTGGGAAATGAGAACTCTTGAGGCAGCAGAATTTTCATTGGTTATGTGATATTAAGGTTAGTGAATTTTTGTTTAAAGATTCTGATCAGTATTTTTTAAACTTTCAGATGTTGCTTATCTGTATGAATCCTTAAACACAAAACATGAGGCGACTCAAGAACCAGTAGGTAAGGAAAAGTAATTCAAGATCCATGAAGAGGAGCTATGCTCCAATGACTGATGTCCCTTCTTGAGAGAGTTTGATTCCTCGGAATTTTGAAGTCGTGCTGTGGTGACTGTCACACAGATCTTTTTCTTTCCTTTCCCCTTTCCAACTGTAGAAGTTAATATAGAAAACCAATGCCATGTGACCAAAGATACCTCAAATACAGGAAGAAGTAATGATGAGACCCAAATTACCTCATCACCATCAGCTACTCAGTCTTGCTATGAGGAACCACAGCCATCTACTTCTACATCTAACCTCTTTAATGCTTCTTCTACCTCTCTTAATGAGTTTGCATCTGTTCAACAGGATAATCCTTCTACATCTGGTAAGGACTGTGTCAAGTATTTAAAGTTTGATATCCCATCAACTGTAACTCCAGTTTTGAATTTTAACAGATTAATCTCTGGCCTATCTGGCTCTTTAGTATTTGCTTTTTAAAGTTCTAGTGAAAATACTAGCTGGATATGTGCATTTTAACCGTGAGTAGGCAGTGGATGAGTAAGGCAATTGAGAGAATTCCTTATGCTCAGAGGGGCAGAAAATGCATGTTAACCCAAACTGTTCTATCTTTATGATTTTGTAGCGGAGCACTGTTGAAAATTAAGAGGTCTTTGTGGCTCATATAACAAATTAAGTAAATATGAGTGCTTGTGCTCATGCAGTCATTCTGAGAAACTAACCCAATTGTCACTGTTACTGCTGGTAGTCACCAGTCCCCTCTCCTTTCCTTAGAGCTCTAGTGCCAAAATATACCAAAGGGATCCCTAGTCTAGTATCTTGTATTATGTTGGTGCGTGGAATACCAGAGTGCTGCACAATGCTTGAAATAGAACTGAAGCAAGAACAGCTATCTAGAAAATGGCGTTTGTCAACAGTTCATTGGGACTTTTAGAACATGCTCCTATGAAAAAAAGCTTTGTCCTCTGCTGTGATCCTGACCTGTTAGGTATGATCAAAATGGCATAAATCTTCTGCCTGGCATCTTCGTTAGGAAGACCTAGCATGGATAATAGTCTTATGAATAAATACAATTTAAAAAGGAATGGGTGTTTTAAGTAGGGTTACAAAACTAGTAGCTTGTTTTCCCCTAGGTGTTTCAATTAGTGAGATTGGCTCAGGATGCATTTAGAGTAGTTACACAGACACAGCTTGTTTTGCTCCATATTTTCCTGTTCAGATGTTTGGATTGATGTGTGTGCATCATCAGTGTCTGAGTACCTTTTGCTTTTTCATGTCACAAATATGTATGCAACTACATTCATATTTCTGGTTTTGTTTTGCAGGATCACAGTCCTCAGTTTTCACTTCTGTGCCTGCTTTCCCCATGGTAGAATCAGTGTGTCTAAGAGCACTGCATGACGAAGATAAAAAGCTTGATATGAATACTGAAACTTCTGCAATCATTTCGGAAATCACTGACAAAGAAAAAGCAGATTCAGATTCTCAAAGAACAGGGGAGGAGGAAGGTTTGGAACCTGCTAAGAAGAAACTAAAAGGAGGCTAGTATATTACTAGTATTGCGCAGCCTACCCTGTACTCGTTTTAATGCTATTGTTGAAAGTTAGGTTAAAAAAACTTAATCAGGAACTTAAAGCTATGTCCATTTTTCATAGAAGCCCAATGAAATTAACAGAAGCATCAGGATCTGTGCTTATTTTTCTTTATTAATGTGAAATACATTCAAAATGCACACATACCAAACCTAGAAGGTTTTGAAAGTTTATGTTGGTAGGGCATGAGTAACTTTTTTCCTCCTCACAATGTTACTTTATGTTTTGATATTAAATAAGAAAAGCAAAATTCCCCTCTCATTCCGTGTCTGCAGCCCTTTCACTCCCCATCCTGAATTGAGTCAGGTCAGCTATCATCAGCCCTTCTTCAATTTGTGTTTTGTTTCTTACTGACTTGATTTTTGGGCCAGTAAAAGTAATATCTGCAGTAGCAGAAGCAATTATGTGCAAAGCAAGAACCTTTAGTAGGACCACTGCCAGTGAGCAGGGAATCTCTGTACATCTTTCAGGTCTCTTTTTAACACTTAAATAAAAATAAATTTAAAAAAGCTTCCTACATACTGTGGAATCTTCTGTCTTTGTAGATGAAGATACTTGTCCAAATCTTTCACCAGCAGCTCCAAATGAATGTATAATTAAAATTGGCTCTGAAGATGCAAAAACATCAAATGTGAAACCAGATAAGATGGAAGAAACGTTAACGTGCATTATCTGCCAAGAACTTCTGCATGACTGTGTGAGGTATGTATGATTGACAAAAGCTGTAATCATGTGGTAATAAAATAAGTTTGGTGACAACTGTTTGAGGAGGCCAGGCTACTTAGGGGTTTTCACAAGCCCTTCTGAGTCCTCTTCCTTCCCATGCATCCAAACTGTATAGTCAGTGCTAATCTTCTGGGTTTTTTTTTTCAGTTGTGTTTTGGTTTGGGGTGTTTTTTTGACTGTTATGAATGTATCTGAAAAAAAAAAAAGATTTGTGTTTTGACTGTTTCTTTCATTGTTTTCATGATTGTGTTTTCCAGCTTGCAGCCTTGTATGCATACTTTTTGTGCTGCCTGCTACTCAGGATGGATGGAAAGATCATCTCTGTGTCCAACTTGTCGTTGTCCGGTAGAACGTATTTGTAAAAATCACATATTGAACAACTTGGTTGAAGCTTATCTGATTCAGCATCCAGGCAAGTTGAAGTGTGTGTAGCACACATGAGCTGTGTAACTGATTTATGCACAAATTTTTTACTAATAAATTTCTATGTATGCTTTATTATTCTGCTGTTTTCTCTGATATGGCTGTAAGAAAAAAAGTGCATTTAACATGACACATTATTTCAAATACTGGGTGAGAATTGACAGGTGATTTAATACTATAATGGAGTAAGTGAAGAATTCTGAATTTTATTTTGGTACTTAAGAAGGATATCAGTTTTTTCAAATAGAGCACACTGACTGATGAGGCTGCCTGAACTCAGATACTTCTGAAAAATGTACTTGAATATGGATTTAATTAACTTTGATCATGACCTCTTGAAACCAAAATCTTAAGTTGCCTGCCTCATATTACTCTTATGTTAACAGAGAGGGGGAATTTAGCTTCTGTAACTTGGTTATTCAAAAGTAAGTTTTATGGAAATGAAAACACAGTAATCACAACTACGTTAATGAAGTAAAATGGAAATAAGGGATCTGATGTGTTCTTTTCTCTTGAAATTTGTACTTGGTTCTCATGCCAGATAAATGTCGTAATGAAGATGATGTACGTAGCATGGATGCTAGAAACAAAATTACTCAAGACATGTTACAACCTAAGGTGCGGAGATCTTTTTCAGATGAGGAAGGAAGTTCTGAAGATTTATTGGAATTGTCAGATGTAGATAGTGAATCTTCAGATATCAGGTATGTGTATTTAAGTTGTGCACTGGCTCAGATTTACTTACATTTGAATGCACAAACCCACAAACTGAGCTAGTTTCACAAATGCTGTTATTTCTGGTAGTGGTTCCATGATCATTGCCAGAATGAATCTTACTTTTGTTTTCAGCTAAGTTCATTCTTACTAGTAGTTATCTGGGCAACTCTATAGGCCATCTTACCGAACCTTAAACAGTCAACACAAAGTAATTCAATTTAGAACTTACTACAAGTGCAGCAAGATTCAGTTTATGGCCAACAGTTCTATGCTGACTTGTACAACAGCTTCATGTGAGATACATGAAATTACCTTTTCCAATTATGAATTGGCTGTTGCTTTAGAGAAAACAGGTTTCTTACTAAGATCTTGTGAGGAGATAAAGCAGTCTCTGTGAGTGCAGCTGCAATGATTATGCTTTCTTATGTGTTTAAAATGCTGCTTTCACCAGGTGAATGGTACTGAAGCAGCTGATGCCTGACCTAGGGATTCCCAGACACCAAAATATCTTCTCTTTATCTTCAACAGCAAACATTTTTTGCTGTATCTCTGGAGGGGAGTACAAGAACTCTTCATGTACATAATTATTCCAGCTTTGTTCCTCTTTTTTCTTGTTCATCTCGCTTCCAGTCATATCACTTTTTTTTCTTTTTTACTATTTGGAGAATACTACAAAACACAAAGTTTGTGTCTTTTACAACTTTACAATTACACAGCTGTGACGTACTGAGTTACGTAAACTTCCATATGTTACTGGATGAAGAAATTCCAAATTTAAACTTTGAAAGTAGGACCAACCTTGTCTAGCATAGGGATATGAGTTATATTTGCATTTGTTGGGTGTGATTTCCTATGAGCCTATTTTATTCTTTCAGTCAACCATATATAGTGTGCAGACAGTGCCCAGGGTATCGAAGACACTCTGTTCCAACACTGCCTGGCGCTGGCCAAGAGACAGAAGCAGGAGGAATGCAAGCACTGGGAGATGCGCCATCTACGTCTGCTAACTTCCCTGCAGGTTGGAAGGAACCATTAAAGACAATCTAGTCCAACTCCCCAGAACTAAGCAATGAACTAAGTTGTAACAATAAACTAAATTGTGAACTAAGCGAGCTCACTCTTGCAGTACTGCAAGAGTAACACCACTTCACATAGGTGTCTTTGTAAATATAATGAGATTTGACCCTGGCTTTTCTGGGGTTGTCCAAAATAGATTGCTGATCATTGGTAGTTCTTAAACTGTTTTACATATTGAAATATTTTACACACCTGTGTAGTTTAGAAGTCTGAATGCCATTCCATTTTGCTGCTCTTTCATGGAATCTTTCTAAAAATTACATTGCTTGCCTTTACTTTCAGATTTTTGATGTGGCTGATACCAAGATTCTTAGCCCAGATTGCTATTGTGTACTTTTTTCAGTCTGTCCTTTCTGTTTTAAACTCATCTAGCTGTCCAGGAGTACGTGTGTCCTGCTCAAGGAAGTCATGTAATATGCACCTGCTGCTTTCAGCCAATGCCTGACAGAAGAGCAGAGCGTGAACAGAATCCTCATGTTGCTCCTCAGCAATGTGTGTACTTTTTTTTATTATTATTATAGTTTTGGCTATAGAACTAAATCCTTATTTTTCATTAAACTTAAAGAATACTCTTCAAAGTAGATTTATTTGAATGTTCTTTATCTGGACTCTTGTACTGACAGCATGAAAGAATCTTCCTTTGAAAACTTACTCTATACGATGTATTTTAAATGAGAAAGCTGTACTTTTTTAGCCATGTTTATGTGAGGGCTGTTGTGTTCAGATCCTTACATGGGGGTTTTCTTTGTTATTTGACAGGTACAGTTTGTCTTCAACCCTTCTGTCACTTATACTGGGGCTGCACTCGGATGGCATGTTTTGGCTGTTTGGCACCATTCTGTGGTATTGTGGAGTAATCTATTTCTTATGAGTGTGCTCACTTTGAAATAATGTCTGTCTTGAGCTTTAGGTAATTTAAGAAACTTAATAGATTAGTTTGAAGCAAAGGCTGTGTCCTCACGTTACAAACATGAAAAAAAACTATTGAGTGGTATGTGTTGTCTTAACTTTGAGAGGATTTAACTTCTTTTCTTCATACCGTATTGGGCTTGAATACTACATTTGAGGAGCACAGTGCTTTCCAGTATAAAAATAATCATGGTGCATTTCACCCTAGTAAGAGAATTGTACAAATCAGTGCAAGAGCACCGAAAATCTGATGTTAACTGATCAGAAAAGAACTTTCTGCTGTTAAACATGCAGCCTTCTGAAACTCAAGGTTTTAAACATTTTCTAAAAATAATTTAGAACAGTTGAAATTCCTTGGCTACAGTTTGAAGCTAATAGAATATGCCTTAATAGCACTGTTAATTTGTGCCGCTTAGTAGTAGTGTTTGTGGGCTGAAGGTGAAAATGTAAAATCTCAGTGTCTTCTTCTTGCCTTTGGAAGTGATATATCACATGCTCTAGCATATGCTGAATGCAGTCATTTACTTGGTGATCACATAAATCTGTGCACATAATTTCAGGAAAAAAAAGCCCTTCTCTGCACATTATTTCAGGAAAAGCTTCAGAAAAATGGGGGGTAGGAGACATTGGGGGAAGAAATAGTAACTTTTTTCTTCTTGTTTTGATTAGAAATAAATCTTGGTGATAAGTGTTTAGATGGAGTCCTAAATAATAACCACTACGAGTCAGATATCCTAAAGGTATGTTTAAAAATCATTATCTTTGTTCATCATACATAAATGTACAAATTTTAAGATGTATTCACTCACGAATTTTTAGTTATATGTTGCCTAACAGTTACAGTGGCAGCATTGTCACTTGCAGCACCTAATTCTAAAAGGCAAATTTAATGAGCCCCAAATGATCAGCTGGACCAAAGTTATAGTTACTGTGTCTGGATAGGAAGTACTTTGGGGTGATAATTTGGGTCTTTCAGTCTGTGAAGAGGGCATTGTATTCTAAAGATGCATTCCATTTAGCCTGAGTTCTTCTCATACCACCCAAATTAACAGCAACAATAACAAAATCACTTTCATGCAGTCCTGATGCATGACTTCCCTGATGTGTATGTCTGACAGGTGCCAAGAAGGCAGAAATTCTAAATATAATTTTGGAATGTGAGTTTAAATGACTGATACACTGTAGAATTCAGATATGGTTGGTTGTTAAATCATAAAAGAATTTTGTTTGTGTGAAGCATTTGTTAGGGAAGCCAGTTTTGACAGTCTAAAATTAAACATCCAAAATACTAATTGAGGGAAAAAATAATTCACTGAAAATACTCCAGGAAAATAAGGCTTGTTAAATATTTTGTCCCAGACAAGTTGAGTTTCATGCTAGGTTGCATAGAAAATGTTTTGCCTGTACAAAACCAAGAGTTACCTAAATTAGGTAAATTGGATAAAATCTTGATTTAAGGTATATGACAGTGTGGCTGAAGTGAATCTATTTGCATTCATTTGGCAAAAGTGGGGATCTTCTGAAGAAGAGAGATTGAATGGAAGGGTTTGTTGGTGATCCAAAAGTATCACACTAATGAAGTTTAAAGATATTTACTTGTAACCATCATCAACCCATGTTGAAAAACCTAGTTACAGATTCAGAAATATTTGAGAGTAAATGGCTTGGTCACTCCTTAATTCACACACTTCAATTGCTCTTTTCAGGATTACCTGGCATCCAGGGGTTTGACGTGGAAAAATATGTTAAATGAAAGTCTCTTAGCTCTTCAAAGAGGAGTTTTTATGTTGTCAGGTATGTTATCTTCATTTTTGTACATGTTTTTTTCTTTGTCAGTAATACTACGAAGAGGTTTTAAGTTCTGTGTACATAACCAATGCCATCATGGCATTTTCACTAAATCTGTTTTTTTCAGGCCTTACACTGACATTATGTACAAATTGGGTTTCTCCTCAGATTACAGAATTACTGGGAACACAGTGCTTTGCTACTGTTGTGGCCTTCGCAGCTTTCGAGAACTTGCCTACCAGTACAGGCAGAATATTCCTGTTGCTGAATTGCCAGGTGGGGATCTCTTTGCTTAGTAATGGGGAAAAGTAATTTAAAGTCTGTTTTATCCTTGTATCCTTGGTGTTTTAGCACCTTTGTGTAGCCCAGTACAAATTTCTCTGCAGGGCTAATATCTTATGCTGATTGTTTACTTGTCAGCTGCTAAGTTTGCATATTGTTATTGTCAGACTCCCTAATTGAACCTTTTCTTTCAGTAGGATTTCTCATCAGTAGGATAAAGGTATCTATATAGTGAAAAGAGGAATTCAGTAAAATCCACAATATAGTCAACAGGAACTAGTTGCTGTAATTTAATTTATTTTCCTATTTAAATACATAAAATTATGCGCCTCCAGAACAATTTCACATGTTATCAGCTCTCAACTAGAAACAAGAATGTTTTCATAAATTAATTCTAAATCTGCTCACATTTACAGTTTTAATATAAAATAGCATGCAAGCAACTGTGCCTCCTTCAGTCTTAAATCTGTTGGAAACAGAAGCTCTTCCAACAACCTGTTTTTAAATGTTACTCTTGTCCATGTAGTACCTTTGTTAGCAACAGCTTCCTTGTCTTTAAGTGTTTAACTGTTGAGAGCTCTGCTTGTGTGCATAACGAGAGTCAGTCTACCTGCTTCTCCTTAGTACTGCTTTCCATTTTAATGTAACAGCCTTCTGGACAGTTGAGTTATAATGTATGTAGAAGTGGGGAAAACCCCAAAACTCTACCCAAATTAATAATTTTTTCTTTATTATGGGAATGTATCTAGACATATGCCCGGTGTCTTAAACTGTAAAGTTCATCTCTATTAAAATAAATGGTACCATTTCAGTTGACAGCACTGAGAACCAAATCCTTTCATCTTAAGTCTGCATGAGCCTAATATTCAGAATGAATTTTTTTGTCCTTCATTAAGTGCTTGCTTTGTTTCTAGAAAGGTGAACCAGTATGGTTCACAATTGTTTCTTGCCAATCATGTCTTGTTTCTCTACAAAGTCTGCTCTGATGAGTAACTACAATTAGCAATGTCTTAATAATCTACATCACCTTATTTAATGGCTTATGTAATAAATGTAGCATTTCATTTGCTCTTTTTGTAGTGACTGTCACATCACGTCCTGATTGCTATTGGGGACGCAATTGTCGAACTCAGGTCAAAGCACATCATGCCATGTAAGTCTGATAATTCAGAAAGTGGTTCTTGGGTTTGTTTCATTTGTAAAAAAAAAAACAAAAACAAACAGACAATAACAGCAAAAAAACCCAAAGCTTTAAAATGCCAGAAGCTGCATGAGTAACACCATTGTAGCATAAGCAAAATTGGGCCAACTTTGGGTTGGGGTTGTTTTTGTCATTTTTAACATAACTTTGAAACAACCCCTTCGCACATGTCAGAAGGGCACCGCTATCACTTTTAAGTTGATATAACCCATTGCTGACACTTCTCGAGTCTTTTCCGCCCACAACTCCCCCTTCATTCCCATTCTTCTCCCGCTGAAGCAGCTTCTCATTTGCTTGTGACTGGGTGCGTCTTAAAAGCACTGTACATACAATAATTAGCCTGGTGTGATTTCCATTTGAAACTATGAGAGACTCTTCTAGTAAAGTGCAACGTACCTTGGAGGGGTAAATTGGTGGGAATAATTTGCAACAAGAAAAGCAAGAGAAGTTTGGAACATGTAACATTAGGAACCTGGTGTGGCTCAGCAGTTCCTGGTTTTGGAGGATTTTCTAGGTTTTAAGCTTCTGACCCAAGCAATCTGGTATATGGCAAAGCTGAAACACTGAGCCTGAAAAGAGATTAACCCTTTGCTTTTCATGTGGTTTAGTACATCTAGGGGACATGTACTTCTAGTATCTGATCATTCATGACAAATGTCTATCCAAAATAAATCGAGGTCCTTGATTAAAAAAAACACAGCCACTGGTAACCAATGCGTTTTAATTCTTATGAAAAGATGCACATGTGCTACCACAAGTATTAGAGACTTGGAAAACAAAACAAGTATTATCTACCTACTTCTAGAGAGGGTAGAAAAATCTTAGCTGCTTTATGAATAGTTCTGTAAATTCTCAGTGCATTTTAAGATAAAGGAGCTGTTAACCCTTGTTGAGAAACTGCTTTAATGAATAGTATATTCTGCAGTATCTTTCTAACGCTGCAGTGAGCATACATACTTAACATACTTCCTTTAATATTGCAGGTACTATGGGTTGAAAATAAACAGTGTGTATAGCTCAGGCAAGCAGATCATAAGAAGGAGTTGTAAAATATTCATTCTCAGCCTCTTACAAAGTCAGAGGGTTTTACCAAATACCTTTCAAAAATAATTTGGGATTTAAGTTGCAGATGTAATTCAAAGTGCCACTGTTACATATAACTTCACATTAGAAGACTGTCTGTGTTCCCAGAGGTTGTGTTTTGAAATGTTAGAGTTAATTCATTATCAAAGTACTCACCACTTGTCTTTCTTCATATTGTGGTGAATGATTCCATCTACAGCAGAAATGACTCAGGTTTTCTTCCTATTTTTTCTTTCTTTCAAGCACTAGCTGTTCCTAGAACTCACTGGCTGCTACTCATAGTTCCTAAAATCCATGAAAGCAAACAATCCTGTTGTACCATTCGTTTCTAGAGATACTCAATTACCTTTTTTTTTTTAAAATGAACTAAAATGTTGTACTACAGAATGGTTATATAAGCAACGTTTCTTTCTAATATTTTATCTAAACCAACAAGGGGGAGAAAATTCATGGTCTCTTTTGCATCATCTCTTCCACACATATGTATATACACACTCAACACACCAACTCCTGTTTTAGTTATGTATCAGGGGATGCATAATCCAAGTAAGAGAAAAATAAAGAATGAATAGTGTGATGTTTCTAAGCCAGTGAAAGAACGTGTTTATGTTGAAATGGATTACTGGCCTGGTTAGTTCTGGGGCCTAGTGACTTGTGTAATGCTGTCTACTGAAAATTACTGATGTCTCACAGGGCAAAATTAATTCACTGATTCCTGGTTTAATTGCCTCCTGGTTTTGAAGTATGCAGAAGTATAGAGGAATGCTTTTAATAACAGGTTTTCTGTGTGTCTAATATACTTAACAGGGGGTTAGGCAGGAGAGATGTTGAAAATCCTGTTACAGATGTCATGATAGTAGAGTACAATTTAAACAGGTTCTGGAGGACAGGTGTGTTAGTGTGTAAATGTTCTGCTTTAAACTGTTTAACATTTAAAATACTCTGAAAGAGACTGACTCATTTTTCTTGTTGGCTTCTGAGAACTTTGTTGCATTTTAATACTTACTTTTTTTTTTTTTCTTTCTCCTAGGAAATTCAACCACATTTGTGAACAAACACGATTCAAGAATTGAATACTGAATACTTGTAGTCTGTAGAGAAGGGACAAAACCCTGTTACACTGCTTGTACAGTTTAAGGTTTCAGGGGACCTTCTCAGTTCCCCCATAGCAGGGCAACAATAACTTTTGCATCAGGTAATCTGGTGTGAACTTTTTCATTTGTAGAATTTTACAGCTGTACATGAATAAGGTAGATTTGGGGTTTTTTACAAGAAAGTCCAGCAAGCATTGCATTCCATCCTCATGGATACAGTGTCACTGTATCACTTCAGTGAAGAACACAAACAGAAATCACACACACACAAAAACCAGCCATATCTTGGGACAGCCTAAGAATAAGGAGTGTATTTGCACTACTTGTGAAGAAACTAAGAAAATTCCTTAGAGTTAAAATAGAAATGTTTTGTAAAAGTATCTGATGGATATTTCAAGAGCCATTAATATTTAAGAAGGAAATTGTGAGTGTATATTTGTAACTGCATTTTGCGGTAGTCTGATATTTTGTCACTACCCATTGCATTTGTGCTAGAAACCACGTTAATATTCACTTTAAAAGAATATTCATCTGTTAAACAGCTGTTTCAGCTTGAAGCCTCTACCATATGTGCAGTGTTACAGTGGAAGTAGTACAGGGTTTTTTTTTCTTAGTTTAGTCATACTGATGTTTTTATTCATATTAAATTACAAAAAATTGCACAAAAATTTGAAAATCACATTTAAAGTTGGGGTAATACTTGAAGCAGAGCAGACTTCTGCTAATATTCCTTCTGTAATGTTTTGTATCAGAAGACCAAACAGTGCTTTTGACATAGATCAGCCAGTAGGACACACTGGTTCTTTTTATTTCTTTTATGTTTGATACCATATGCTAAATATGTACCTCTGCCATGCAGCTGTTCTCTAGCATGCATACACTGGTGAAAATGTAGAGAAAGTTATAGTTTAAAACAGAATATAGCAGCTTTACTGGAAGGAACAATCTTACAAAAAAGAATTCAGCTTGGACAAATTGTAGCAATATGGTGGCATTTCTGGATGGGGATGGTGAAGGGGAACACTGGTGTCACTGACAGTAAAAAAAAAAAAAAAAGTAGATTTTATTGCCATGCCTCTACAGAGCTCATTCAGGAGATGTCCCAAGCATCATTTAAATTAAAAATCCCAACCCACCCCACCCCAAATTGATCTGTTTCATCATAACCTGTTAGTAATGGTGACAAACGCAACTGGGACCAACATTTTTTATCATATATAGAAGCGTGAACAGAACGAGAAGAAAGCATACAAAGTTACCTCTGTAGATACCATGTTGTTTTTAAGTATGCCTTATTTTATGAGCAGGATTTATACTTTAATGTTAAAAAGTGTACACACAAAATCTTCTGATAGAATGGAGCACAAATGATGCAGCACCTCGTGTCTACTGGTTGCAGTGGATTAAACAAGTATTTCCAGTAATGCACATCTTTATATGAATGATAATTAGAATGATGTATTTCTGTTTAGATTTTTATTTTTCAAAATAGCTGTCGCAAGGATGGGTCTGTTGACCATGCCTGTATGCTATTAAAAATACACTTTGGTGTGGACTTCTCTTCCTAATCTCTGGGCATTTTCTCCTGTGAGTAGGATTGAAATTGGATCTGGAATAATACTTGAAACTTCTTTTAACAACAGCAGTGTGTTTCTGTCTTTTAGTATTATTAACAATGTTCTGTGGCTTCTGTATTTGTATTTTATGTTTAGATTATTTTTTTTTTAATGCTTACTGTATCTTCTCAGGACAACCATTCTCGGCTGGTTTTGATCTCTTTTTCATCTCTGGCTGTGCATGTAGCAAAATGAGTGCAGTTGTGGAGATCATGCCTTTGCACATTATATGCAGAAATGTGCTTCATGTTTTCATTCACCACTTTCCACACCCCAGATGGGCTTTCAGCACAGACTTGCCACTGTGCTAGTGTTCAAGCCTCTTGTGCTGAAGTTCTTCTGTTGGTCAAGAATAACATGTCTACAGTACTATGTACAACCTCTCTTGCACTTACTCAAGTTGTGTTTGTATAGGGATGTATTGTGTGACTTGGAGAAAAAAAAATTGGGGAAAAACCCCAAGCAAACAACAAAACTCATGTGCTTAACAGCTAAACTACCTGTGCAGTAGAGGTTCTTCAATTCCTTTTTTAAACCCCTCTTCCTTTTCCCTGTTACAGATAATTAATCTGCCTTTCTATGCATATAGGGTTGCGGTAGTGCAATGGAATGAAGGGATCTTTTTGTCATTTATATTGTACCAGGAGGAGATGAGAAATTAACTTGCAGAGGTGAATAAATCCTGATCTTTATATGCTCTTAAGTAAGTAAGAGTATCTGTCATGGGTATTACATACTCTATACATTAGACCTTTTTAAATGTATGGTTACCAGGTGATAGTTAATGTGCTAAATGTATGAACTATGCTTGGCGTAATTGTTTAAATACTGTAAAGGTGCAGCATATTTTTAACCTGTCTAAAGCACATCCCCACCTCCTTTATAAGAGATATTTGGAAGCTGAGCATGAAATGTGGTAGAATAGATGTTACGGAAACCAAGGTGATTATGGTAGGGGTTGACGTAGTGGTAATCAAGGTGTATAGTCTCTGTCTTTGAGGAAGTTCTTTTATAAAGAAGGTGGAGAGTAGTTCTTCCAGTTCTCTTTTGTGATTTTTTTTTTTTTTTTCCTGAACCAAGAAGTTATTAATTAAAAAAAAAAGATACTGAAGTTGTCTGTTTCTGTTTCTTCTGTGGCATATTCTCATCCCACAGAATGGAGGTATGCAACTCTTGCTGATTGCTTTGTCAAGATATTAGGTACTTGAATGCTGAGATTTTACAACTAAATATCCTTGCACTTGTACTGACTGAAAATGACATGAGTTCTTGTGTCATTCCAAGAAATTCTCTCAAACTTTCTTAAAAGTGTCAGAGGATATCACAGAGGATCATCAGTATCTCTACAGTTTTTATAATGGATAAGTGTAAAACTATTAAATAGATTTCGGTTTTGTCAATGAGATGGCTTCAAGATGCTAGTATATGAAAAAGTTTCCTACTTTTGAAAAGTGGATACTATTTTAGTTTCTCGCAATACCATAAACACTGAAGTGACAAGCATTATACCACTACTGATTTAACAGCGGGCTACAGAAAATGATTGTCGTATTGAGCTCATCTTTAGAATGATCTAAATTGCATAAATGCTAAGATTTCAAATGGCTTCTGTTAAGAGAACTTTTTCTGAATAGAACTTTTCCCTTGCAGAGTAAATAGGACTTGTCTGCACCCTGTTCTGAGATGAAAGACAGTGATGCCAGAGTCATTAAGCTTCAAATTGCAGTTTAGTATCCCAGGATTTCTGTGCTGCCACCATTCCCATACTTGAAGCTGGATATCCTTTAATGCGGTAGCTAATCTATATCGCTGTTCTCAGTTAAACCAGTTATCATTTGTTCTTCAGACTAAATTTAATAGAAGTTCAAACTCGGGTTAAGTAGTGTGAAAGTGAAGATGCTGTGTTGTTCTATATGTCATAAAGACAAGCTGATAAGACCTTAAAACTTATCATGGTTTTGGCTTGCCCTGCACTTACATTGGAAGGTTTAAGTATTCTAAATTCCATTATGTTAAACAATGACTTGTAACTAACTTAGTTTGAGGAAGCTGCGGATTTTGGATTTATCTCCTATCAAGTGGCCAGTTCTGGCACAGCATAAGCTCTTTCAAGCACTTCCTGCATAAAGAATGGGGAAATTCGGTACAATTATTGTGAGGAAGACAATGCAATATATGGCGTTATGCAGCTGACCATATACTAATTTCAAAAGTGAGTGTTAATCTGAAAGCCCTCAGTACATCTCAAGTATTTGAATCAGCAACTGTGTAGGATATTTTTTTTTAAGCTCTGCTACTGTTTTCTTTTAATAGAAAAATCCTGGTATTTGTCACTCAAAGATAAATCATTCTGCAAACAAAATACATCCATTTTGTATCAATTTCTGGTCTTCACTAGAACTGTGTAGTGCAAATGCTTAGCCTACAGCAAGAATTTAGGGAAACAAGTTGACTCAAGTAAAAGGAGCTAGGCATTTGAGAATTCTAAATTATGCTCTGAAAATCAGGTTTCTTATGGCCTCTCAGAAATATCTGCTGGAATGGGGCTTTATTTTGTACAACCTCTGAAAATAAACCAACAGTCATTATATTGTAGTCCTTTCCTAGAAGTTAGGAAAAGGATCTCTTTTAAAAAGAATGTGTTGGGATTTTGCATTTTCCCACCTATTTTATGTAACATTCTTTCTGCGCTGATATTTGGGAGCTGAAATACCGCTTACACAATTCCAAGGAATAACTTCTGAAGAAAACTAATTATACTATTTCCCACAGCAGTGCTTAATATGCAAAGATTGCTTCTAAATCTGCTTTTCAGGTCATCCTTCTTTTCTTCACACTTCACCATTTTGACTTTCAATGAGGTAATTTCACCCTTAAGCTCATTAGTTTCCATAGGAAATGAATTATGAAAAATGCTAAGTGTGCCATATGAAGTTTAACATCAAAGACATTTCTAGACAGACCATGAATATATGTTGAAGCTATATTTGGTCTCTGTTGGGTATTCTTTTCAGTGCTGCTGAGCTTCACTTTCTTGCTTTTATTAGGTAAGTGTTGGCTTAAGACTTACCTATTTTTCCCAAGCCAAATTAATCTTTAATTCTTTAGAATAAAATCTAGTACCTGACAGGACTATTTGAGTCAAATGTGTTTTGTCTTGGCTCCATGTGCCCTTCTCATGGGGAGAAAAAACCCTCAGACAGTTATGAGTAGGCTGCTTTGTAACAATTGCTGTTAAAGCAAGTTAGATTTCTGAAAGGGACCTGTGTTTCTGCTAAGAAGTTTATAAATGGATTTTTCTTGCTGAATGCTACTCTGAATCCTCAAAGTTAGGATGCGGCAGCTGCATCGTAAATCTTTTGGATTGTTCCCATTGAGCCTCCATGCTCAACTATTTTGACTGCCTGACAGTAAGAAACCTAACACGGAGAATTCTTGTCAGCTTGCATAGCTTCAAGCTTTTATTTTGAAGCTCTGTTTCAACAGTGAAAAAAACAGAGAATACCCATGTATTTTTGTCATACTCAGTCTACTTAACAAATTGGCTAGAAGGATTTCTGGTGTATTCGAGAATAATTAATTTTAAAGTTAGCATTATTCACATCCAGTTTTACTGAAAAGAATACTCCTGTTTGGTAGCACCATAACAGTTTTGGACACATTTTTCCTATGCATTTGTGATTGGAATTATTTTCCTCCTCTTCAGTGAGTATTTAGCATGCTTATTCCATTTGCTGCTTAGTTACTGTATGCAAAACAGCCCAGTAAACTGCCGCATTACTCAAAGGTATAACTGACTCCCAAGCCCATGTATGAGTTATGAGGTCATTACAAAGTATCAGCATAGCACTCAGAAGTAACATAGCTGTTAGGAATAAAATAAATGCTGTAAGTAATACTATCTAAAAACTAATCCTAGTCAATATTTATGGCTAAGAGTATTAGAATACTTTATTCCACCTGGAGCTTTCAAAATTGCTTAAATTTGTGTGATGACTCTTTTGAAGAGTGGGGATGGAAACTGTTTCTGTTCCTGGAGGGTTGAATAAAAGAGGAGAGTCTCAAAACAGTTCCTTTAGCTGTAAGGGGAAGAAAATATTTTATAAATTCTTTGAAGGTATGAAATAAAACACAGATACCTCTTTAGCAGTTAATTTGAGTGAATATATTTTTTTTAGGCAGAAAATAACTTCAAAAGCCAAGTCAGGAACTTAAGTCTTCCCATATGTTGTACTCCTGACTCTCTTCAGGGCAGACCAAGAGTGAGAAGGTCACCTTTGTGTACCTGCAGCAGTTAGGTGTTGGGCTTCAATACCTTCTAGTGGCAGAAAACCTCACCTTTGAGTAGTTTGGTGTATCAGCCACCTCAATTCTGAGAATAAGCAGCAGTGTTGAATATTGTATATTTTTCAAGAGGAGGGTGTCTGTCAACATATATGTGTATATAGTCCGTGCTGAACATATGATACTAGAGGTCTCATGTGTAGTTGCCTATCTGCTGCTGTACCTGGCAGTGATGGAAGAGTTACATGGTGTTGAGACAAGCCCTGTGACAGGAAATCCAAACTCCTACAGAAACCAGCCACTGGCAGGTAGGCTTCACTCAGTTAGAAATATCTCTTCTCAGTTACGTAGAGGAAGTCAGTGTAAACAACCACCTCATTACCTCACTAGGTTACTGAGGAGAAACCATAAAGGATCTAATCCTTGGGTGTTTGCTGACTGAATACTGCAGCAGCTTTTGTGCTCCTTCCATTGCAGCAACTGCTAGGGAGATTGCTGTGCTGGTGTACCCATACAACTTAGTCTTTCAGCAAAATAAAAATAGTGTCATTACATTGTAAAAATGAGTAGTTAAACATGCTTTTATTGAAAAAGCCACTTTCTCCAGCCCTTCAAATGTAGCTATTGTCAATAACTGAACAAGTACTTTTCAAAAGTTGATTTCAGTACTTCAATCTTTAGAAATGTAAGAAGTAACAGAACATTGACTCTGAATTACAGTGGATATGAATTTAATGAAATGGAAGTTAGAGTACTGAAGATTTCTAAATATTTTCTTCAATCATAAATATATTAACTCTTTCCTTTGAATCAGATAGCATTAATTAAACAACAATGACAAAAAATAATCCAACAACAACAAAAAACCCCAACTTGGAGCCAGACCTTTGTGCTTCAAAACTACTCAACATAGTCTGGTAATAACAAATGTAGAGACTTGTTTGCTGTTCATGTTTGAGTCAACTGCTAAAGGGCATATATGTGTTTGCTTCCACTGCTGCCAGATGAAAAGCTCCTATGTCTACGTAAACACGTAAACACACACTCAAAATATAAGGCAAAACCAACAGTCTTGTGTTGCATATCTCAGACATTAATAGGTGGCAAATGGAAGCTGTAATAGAAGGTGAAATCATAAATAATTCATTTAAATATTTCAGGACTCAAATGCCTTCACATAGAAGGATTAAGATAACTCAATGCACACTGTACCTAATATAGGGGAAGATTTGTATGGAAGATATTTCTGACACCTGTTTTATGGCATACTATTGCTTTAAAACAATGTGCTGTTTCGCCTGCAAAATACAGCTTCATAAGGAATTTCTTTCATTTAAGAAAGCAAAATAATTCTAAGTTGTGGGCTCCTTGCAGGAGTCTCTTGCAAAGATAGGAAAACATCACCAGGAGGCAATTCAAATACTGGTGGGGTTACTGAAGGCAATAGGACTAGCATGCTTCCCTTTGGTTCAATTGAATGCCCTGTATTTGTAACCAGGGAGGCATAACCACTTAGTAGTACATTTCTGAAGAAAGTGAGCACTCAAAGTTTGCCCCACTTAGTTTTAAGTCCTGTCTCCTAAAGGAAGAGAAATAGTTCTCTAGGCAATGTGCGTTACCAGCAATAAATAGCTGGTGGATATAGGATCAGAGCAGCTGGAAATATCCAAGTGTTGGATGCTGAAAACTATCCCTAGTATTTCAGTGGTTTTATACACATGCTCCTGTTGCCATGAGGAGTCACTTAAAAATGTAGTGGACTAAGGTGGTTTAAGCCTATGTAGATCTAACAAAGATAAAGCTACATCAGGCTTCTATAGAACTAGCATCCAGTACTGGATTGCTCAGCTTGTCTGTATGCTTCTCTAAAGAGTTAGGATATGAAATAATCATTGTTTGTAATATTGGAGATGCTAATGCTTGGTAAACTGTGCTAGAGTGCAGAAGTTATGAAATGCTTAAAACTAAGTTTACAAAACTGTACGCAAACATGCATGATTAAATTCTTACCCTTGACTTGGCAAGGCTTGGATTGTACAGGCATAGCTATAAACAAAATTTAACTCAGAGCTCCCAACAGAAAGATTCAAGTGATACCACAATGGCAGAGGACTGATTGACATTTCAAATATAAACCATGGTGTAACCATCTCAGATGACTTTCATTTCTCATTCCAGAAAAGGTTTTCTGCAGTCTGAAGTACTTCTTCAGAGGATACTTTCTTGTATAAACCACATCAAAATTCCATGCAGAAGAATAGAGATGAGGTTAGTGAACATATGAAAATGTTGAATTTGTGCTGTGCTATTGTATGTATCATTGTAATCTCAGTCCCAGCAGATGGAAAGCAAACACCATTTTTAACAAAGTTGCATCTATCTGTGACTGCCATGCTCAATTGCTGGGCACAGCTTCCACTCTCATCATGTCCCTGTTGTCTCTGTTTTTGTGAACTGATGTTTCAGTCTTTCTAAGGGCATCACTGGACTGAAGCTTGGCTTAGTGTAGGAGCAGCTACAGTATCACAGTTCTGTGAGGTCTCAGTAGTATTAGCATCCTCAGCTGACGAGCTCTGCTGTTCCCTGGAAGAGCCTGGGGCCTTCACATGACCTTTGTATAAACTGGGGGATTTTGCCCAAAGGGGAAGATTTGACATGAAGCTGGCAGAACTGTTCCCCTCCACAGTCAGAACCATTGGCTGTTTATCTGGCACAGCTGGAGCATACACAGCAGTTTGCTCTGACAGATGATCTCCACATTGACTAAGGTGTTCTGCTAGGACCAGAGGCTGCTGATCATCCCCTTCCTCAGAAATAACAAAAACTGGTTTGGTTTTATCTGTTTCTAATATAAGTTCCTTTGTTTTGGAACCATTGACCAAGTTGATTTTCAGTGGGTTGGAGCTCTCTAGATTTCTGGGGCTTTGGCTGTTAACTGGAGATGTTGCCCCTAGATGTCTTGATGGATCCAAGGACCTCACATGTTTGCTGTCAGGGGAACTGGCTAAAAATCCAAAATAAGGGTTCCCAAACCTGGATTTCTTCAAATTGCAGGAGCTTAGCTTCCTCTGCCTTTGTGCAGACAGAGTGAGGGGGTATGAAGCATTACTGGCAGATGAATCGGAGTAAATGGTCCCTGATGCCCCCTCTATCTCAGTGGCTGAGATTACCTTTCTGGTTGAGGCACCTTGAGATCTTGCAGTTGTAGGAAAACCCTGCACAAAATAATGATAAATTAGCAGACATGGCATGAAAAGCAGCTAGCTTTTACCTCAAGGGAACTAAACATTAAGATTCCTGGTTATGTTAAAGGTGAGATGCATTCTTTAGCAAAACCCTATGTTATTACCTTAAGAAAAAGAAGAAATCTCCTCTATTAGCTTTGTAACAAGCTGTTGGTTTGACGACTACAGTCAGCAGACCTAGATATTCCTCCCACACCTACAGATTCCTTGCAATGCAATAGTAATATATCAATTAAAACAAATTTAAGGCATAGCCAGGGGAAAAAAGGTACATGTCAAAACATTCAATGAGATAATGTAGTCTGAAGGCATTTTTAAATGTTTTTCTGGACTGGGAATCATTTCTTAAAGCAGGTGCTAACTGCTGGGAAATACAGCTTCTTAGCACTTCAGGGAAGCCTGAAAAAATTGCAGTGCAGGTAGGCAAAAGAGATGGACTGCAGTGTGCATCACATTGCAAGCTGGGGAGGCAAAGCAGTAGATCAAGGGGAAAACATGTCCCATCAGCGAGCAGCGGGGAGTACTGGGGGACAGACCCCAAGCACCATGATCTCCCCTCCTTGCAAGACTTACACTGTTGTCAGCCAGCTTTGTGAAGGGACTGTTAGTGGTCCAGCTACACCACTTTTTCTGTAGCTGTGGTATTGGAGCCAGGAAGTCGTGGAAAGTGCGGGCACTCCATGTGCGTTGTCTGGGACAGTGATTTTCCAGCTGGGCATTCCCCTTCTCAACAGTGTCTGCTCCTGCAGCCGTGTGATTAGAAGCCAACCAGTCAGACACAGAGGCTGGGCTCGTGACACTTCTTTTTAGATTTTTGTCCTGAAAAGATTAGATAAAGATTGTTTACAGCATCTTTTATCAAAACATTTTAAAAACACTTCAAAAATATGCTGTAAGTGCCAGAGACTTGATTCTTCAGTGGTTCTGTTCTCAGGACAAAACACAGGAATGCAGCTTCTCCTAGTTGCTTTTGTAGCATGCTGCCTGTATGAAAGTTTTACCTTGCTTCCCCAGCTTTAGGTTTAACACTAAATTGGGAAATTTCAGTTATGTAAGAAATAAAGTCCTACCACTCTTACTAACCAAACATATCAAATATCTACAGCTTTATTTTACTGGAGTTATGTGATAGATCAGAGTAGTAAACTTCACTGTGTAAAACATAATTCTTCCACTTTGCTTGGCTCTTGGAAGGCTCCAGATGTGTCTGTCTGGGGAAACAAAACTTCAAGGAGGATGGGGCCTGCATAAAGAAGTCCAGAAGCAAGCAACAAGAGAATCACAAGTCGCAAAAATGCATGACTCAGGAGGGAAGACTGAAGTAAGTGGTGCTTTCTATCAATGTTAGGGAGGAATTAAGAAAATAAAAAGAATTAAAAACAAAGAGAAAGGGAATAATCTCTTCTTGGTGTCTGTGGTGAATAGAACAAGAAGCATGAGACTCAGATTAGAGTGGGAGATTTTCATTTCATATAAGTAATGCTTTTCAAGTGGAAAACATGCTTTAACAGTAAAACAAGATACAGACAGGTGTAAAATTGGCATCATTGGAAGATGAAACTACATTAAACCATTGTCACCAATTCTGTGTAGAAGCAAAGTTGATGTGACATGGGAATGAACTATATATTACTTCTAAAGATCTCTTCCATGCTTTCTATGTTCTGATGTTGCATTTAAAAGCCCAACTTTTATCCTTAATATTGATGTGGGTTTAGAGCCAAAAGAGTTAAACAATCCCTGATTGTGCTATGAATCTCCTTTCATTCTTACTAATACTTCACCTGCTATTTATATAAGCCTCCTGTTCCACAACTCTGTATGTATTTTTAATTTTCAGCTGTGCAAATACGGTTGTCATGAGAGGAATGCAAAATGTGCATTCCCAAAGTTTACATAGTCCTTAAAGAGGGTCTGAAATAAATCCAGCAGTGTCCTGGATTTGAAAGTCCTGAGAAACTAGAAACTTGTCATTTGTTATTTCTGAGAAACTGAATCTCTCAAGTTTCTGCAAATCAAAGAAACTATTTAGTTTAAATGTCATGTTGGATATGGATGGGCAGAGAGGCAAGAAATTAGCTAGTACAGTAGAAAAAAATCTCAGTAGGAAGCCATGAGAGGCTTCAGGCTCTGGATAAAGTTGTTCAGTATTAAGCTCTTAGTCTCAGACTTGATTAAAGTAACAATCTCTATTTATAAGCCAGCTGTCTTCTCATCAGAAGCCTCTTCAGGCTATCTTAGGATTTATTATTTTAGTAGTATTATAAGTACTTCCAAAGTGGTGTAAAAGCTAGCCACTGGTTTTGAGATGGGATTTATTATTCTAGTATTATTATAAGTACTTCCAAAGTGGTGTAAAAGCTAGCCACTGGTTTTGAGACAAATATACTGGAAGGTGAATAGATATACAAAGGTGAATAATATATTTTCTAGATTTTGGAAAATGTTTTAGCAAAAAAGTATTTCTTATACCCCCATGATAATACTCTTTACTGAAACCTTTGCATCTGAAACTTGTTTCAATAGAAGTCAGAGGTTATAGTTAGAAGTTAGCCAAACGCTGAATTATGACTTAAACCAAATGGGACTTAAAAAGCCAGGACTGTCCTGGAGAACACCTCAGAAGCCATCTGAAAGCCATCTTACACTCCCTTTCCTCATGCTAGACCATAAACAGAGACATGTGTTTGCTGTTCCACCTCTTGCCTCCTAACAGGGGATTGGTTTCTTCAGATGGGTTTTAAAAGCTAAAAAACAAATGACAGTTTATCATCTGCTCCTGCCCAGCAGAGCTGAGGCTTACACTTCCTGGGGAACACAAGACCAAGTGGCCAGTCACCATTTCTCAGAAAAAAGTTCTGGATTATTTTTTATTGAAAGCTCCTTGTAGTTTGCTTTGCCTAGTCAAGCATTTGTGTGAGGTGAGTCTGATGGTGTTATTTACTGTACCCTAAAGGCTCGGGATTTCACACATATTTTTACGTGAGGATAACTCCTTAGTTCCTGCTAGGGAAGTGGCTACATACCACTGAATAACTCATCCTACTTGCCTAGTGCTGGTTTACAAAAGCTGTGCACCATACTCTCTATGTGGGGCTCAGAGGCTGGCCAGCTGCACTGTACACCCTAAAAATACACATTTAGAAACTAAACTGTAAACATTTATTTCTAACATCCGGTAACCCAGATTATCAAGTGTCCTAAAGAGATCCTGTTTGAGTGCAGGTCTGTAATTATCCTGCTGTGCTCAATTTCCACCCCCCTTGATGAGGATAGTCTTCAGCTGTGGGGAAAGACCAATGCCTTTAAAGAGGCCATTATAGCTTTCCTGGATAGTTTTTCTGTTCCTTAAGGGAATTGACTGAGAGCATTAACTCACCTGAGGGCGGCATGGACGTCACTGAGGAGATGCCTCCTGAGTTAATTATGTGGTAAATCGCTTTAATTCTTTGGGTTATCTTCACTTAGGACTGTTTTAACCCTAAGTATTTTTGTTTTTATATATATAAATCTCTTCTGATAGGTTGCTTGCAGAAGGGATGGCAAAGTAGAAATGTTTTTTCTTTAAGTCTGTTTATTCTAACTAGAGTGTGGAAAAGAGGAAGGAAAATGGGTCTCCCTCCTGTCTAGAAGTTGTATTTGTATGTGGCTGCCACCAGGTGAAGCTCTCTTCACTGGAAAGCAGGACCAAGGAATGAAGGTGTTAAAGGGTGGCCAGTTTGGTCAACGATACAGCTCACAGTATCCTGCTCTACAGAAAGTAATGTGTTTGGGCAAGGGAAGGCAACAGAGCTATTTTCCTTTCTTTCCCTCTTTCTGTTAACCAATGTGTCTGATGTGAGGAAAAGCTTAGTATGTCTCTTACGCTAGCATAGGAAAATCCTGACCAGCCTGGCCTTCTGGCTAATTTCCTAATCAAGTGCAGGGATACAGAATGTTTTTGTTTTGTAAACTGTGACAGAAGTATTACACAGCCTGTCCTGGGGCATGTGAGCTCCTTGGGCTGGTTGTTTCCCCTCTTGTGGGAAAAAGAGGGCACTGGAGAGTATTGACCTGGGAAAGGCTTTAATATAGACTCGTGATGGATGTGCTCTGTCAGGCGCTGTGCGTAGGGGTTGAAGAGGTGATAGCTAGACCTGAGACTTCTGAGCTATCATCTCCTTTCTAAACAAATAACCAGAAGAGAAGGAGAAAGAGCTAAAATAAGAGAGAACTTACTGAACTGGTTCAGGTTTCTGTGTGTGTGTGTTTGAAAGGACCCTACTGCTTTCAATTGAAGTGCTTGACTATTTGTTTTTAGAGCCTACACTGTGAATTTTCACATCAGCCTGGTGAGACAGTTAACCAGCTTTCTGAGGAGCTGAGTAACCTTCCTGACCACTTGGTAGTGGTGTGCAAGAGCAGATCTGACTCCTAGATCCTTCAGTTGTTGCAGGTGATGATTTTAAAGTGTTTCCGGGGGCTGGTCCTACTGCCTACTGGCAGAGTTCTGCATCATTGGCTGTTAGATCCAAGGCAGACTGCTGCATTTGCTCTTATCAAATCTGGGAAGATACCTGCTCAGATCACAGCCCTCATTGTTTGGTGGCAGTTCAGCTTGAGGGTTAGGAGAACTGCCTGGCTTGGTCACTACCTTTCGTGTAAAGTGGGCAGTAAGCATAAATGGACAGACTTGACTAGTACTGCCCAAGGGGGGCATCCCGTGGCTTGTTAGAGATGCCAGAGAACATTCCTACCTGTACTCTGTAGGTGGTAAAGCTCAGCCCGCTAGTGCCAGGTCCAGCAGAAATAATAAACACTTCATCGCTCCCAGTCTCGGTGGTCACTGCAGATATGGAGGAGGGCACATCTGGGTCAGTGTCCTGAGGAGACCGTTCTGTGCTGCCTATGCAGGAAGTGACTGAGAAAATAAGATCAGTAACAACTGCTTGTGAGAGTCCAAAACATCTGTTCCCAACTCCTCCATGACAAACCCTTCCTCCTTCCCCAGACAAGCTAGAGCAGGCTTTGGCTGCCTGTCTCACCTGCCAGAATAAAATTCAAGCCAACAGTTTGCTCTCCTGAAACTGCAAGCCCTTAAAAACAAAAGGGGAAGAACACCCTTGCGTCTGCTTTCTAATAAAGACAAACCAAAACTAAAATCCCTTATACTAAATACTCAAGGTTGTGCTGGGTATCAGAAACTTGCAGATTTGCTTAACTCATTCTTTATTTGTATTTACTCATCCCTGTTAATATTAGGAGCTATGCTTTTTGCTTAAACCCTAGTGATCCTGTTCCTACAGGAGCAGCATTATGCTCTAGGGACTACCACAGGGGTGTCTGTCTGCATGTATCCTTAAGGCCTGTACATCTATATCTGGTCCATGTTAGGAGAACTCTGGCCACAATGTCATCAATGACTTTTCCAAAGAAGGAGATTGGAAACTGTAGTGGTTGGGAGCACAGAATTAGCTTTTTATGAAGATATCCTTGTGTGTATATAATGGTTGATTGATGGTTTAGTGGGAAACTGATGGTGTGTAGCAACATAACATGAAGAAGCTCCCTGTTGGCCTTCACCAGTGGTGCAATTTATGTGTGGTGACTCAAAACTGCAGCAAGTAACATTATCTGCAGCTTGGCTGGAGCCTTCTTGTTTTAGAAACACACTGTGAGCTAAATGTCACCTAAAGCACTGTCATCCATAAAGTCCTTCAGAAAAGACTAGCTCCGGGAGTCAAAGTTGACCAAAGCCAATCTAAGCATTGTAAACCTCATCCTTTCTGGACAAGGTTAGGCACATGGCAGGTGAAATTCTTCTGTAATTTATGGATCTTTATAAGTTGCTTGTAGCAGCCTGAACCTGACATATTTGCTCTGCTAACCCAGTGTCTCTACAATGCCATGTGCTATGACAGCTTTTGTTGGCAGCGTCTGGAGCTCTGCTTGTGCGTGCTCCTTGCCAGGGGAATTACCCTACCAGTGAGGGGGGAGAGCAGCAAGAGATAGCTTCCACAACAAAGGCTTTCTGCTGCGAAGTGGCTCTCCAGCTGTGCATGGGCAAGACAGCAAGGAGGACTGCAAGGAAGAAATGATCTGATTAACTGGCCAGGGCTACGGGGTGCACTGACCTGCTCCCATGGATGCCCCGCACTTACCCGCCTGCTCCTGGCTCACAGAGTGGTTGTTGTTTTCATTCTCCAGGCTTGGCACCACCAGCTGGAGCTCATTGATATCAACAGTGGAGTTCTGGATCCTGTTCTACAACTCAGAACATGCCCCAGTAAACATTGTCAGATAAACAGTGCAACAGCCAATATGAAAAAGAGAAACAGAAATTGCTGAAGGCATTAGCACTAACCTCCTGGTCACTGCATGTGTTGGATGAGCTCCTTTTGGGGCACATTCTCTGTCTGAAAAGAAGAGACAGAAACAACAACAAGCCCAGAAGTAAGTTAAAGATGCACAGAAGAGAAGGTCTCACCTGTGCTCATCTTGTGATGGGGACCTAGCAACTTACGAGCTCTCCTGCCTACAGGAGCATCCAAAACTCAGGACACCAAGGCCTGTAGGCCAGGGGAGAAAATGATATATTCATGTAGTGGAAAGTCAGCTGAAAAAGAGAAGGACCTCTCATCATCTACCCAGAATCACTGCAAAAGCAGAAGCAGTTCAGACCTCTGCCAAGTCCTGCCAGGATCCCCCCAGTCAGCTGCTCTTTCATACCAGTAACTAAATAGCAGGACTGAAATCCTGCCTTTGGTCTGTCTGTTAGACAGAATATTTCATCTGCATAGTCAATATTGTGTGCTGGATTATATCTAGCAAGCAGAAAGCATCAGATGTTGTGCATGTGTATGAACATTTTATTAAAAGACAGCACTATGGCAGATGATTACTGGGTAAGTATGCCTCTTGGCTGGAGGGAGGCACGTTCTTAACCATTTTTTCCATGTTTTTACTAAAACTGAGGTTATGAAACAGCTACTTTTTCGTCACAAAGAAAGGCTGGCGGTAATGAACACCATTATGACTGAAGCAAGTGTATTTTGTCTTTGTGTATAGCAGTTCTCCATGGGGCAGTACAGACGCACATGGGAGCATTAAGGTGCTGAACAGATAGAATGTGGCCCATGGTACAGTTTTCCCTACTATCTGTGCTGCTGGCTGGCATTTTTGCTCTTGTTCGGAGGGTTGATTTGCTTCAAGGCATTTAATCTTCTCCATGAAAGCTTTTTTTGGTTGCATGATTTCAAGGTTTTGGTAACCATATTCTTACTGATTTTTTTTAAGAATAGGGGCTCAAAGGCCACCTGATGAGGCTGGACAGGAGCTGGTGTCTGCTTCATCTCGGGCATGGTGTGTTTCGTTCCTTCACTGGATCTCTTAAAAATGCTTATTGAGTGACAAGTGAATTGAGGGAGGAAAACAAAATGTGACGCACCCCCAGCACTGTTCCAGTGAATCAGAGAAGACTACAGAAAAAGAGAAGAGAGAGTTGGCACTTGAGAATTTAATCCAAAAGAGATCAGATGGATAGCTGTTACTCCAGGAGTCACAATGGCATCAGCCAGGTGTTGGGTTTGCAGGAACCTGGGGCTAAGGCAGGGAAGGATCTTCCTTAACAGACAGATTTAGGAAGTGGGAGCAGGGAAGGCTTCGAAGTAGGAGTGGTGTTGCCTTATCAAGCAAGATAAAACCAAGTAGAAAATACTTCAGGGTGGAAAATGTTTATGTAATAATATTATATATAATTTAATATATATATATTTAATATATATAAAAATATATATATTATAAAATATTATGTAAATATTCCTCAGGTGCACACCAGAACCATGCCAGCAGGAGTGACCTGGCAAAACATGCCCCAGAACAATGAAATAATGTGGTGGTCAAGGCATTCAGGTAGATGGTAGGAGAACTACATGTAATTCCCTGCTTTCTTCACATTGCATTCATTTTTTTTAATTACTTCCCCTCCTCCCAGCTCTTTCCTGCCAAAACCCATGACAAAAATTTAATCAAATCTATTCCTTTGAAATATTCTTGTTTCAAATAACTTGCATGTTACAAGCAAATTTGTTAAAATATTCCCACCTAGGGATTAAAGAGCACAAAGGAAATGTTCTCCTCTAAGAAAACACAACTTGGCACATATTTCTTCCTCACTGAACATCAGGCATTGGCAACCCAGACGTTTTAGTTATCTGGATGGTCTCACTTCTGGGTTTGCTATTTGAACTTTTAGCATGACTTAACAAACAAAATGTTCAAGTTCTCAAAAATACAAATAAAAATGTGTTCCTTAGATCCTTCTATGCAGCTGTCCCATTTAGAAAATATTCATATTCTCAGGGACAAAGCTGAAAGGATGAAATATCTATTTTAAATTGGCTCAGAAACTGGCAGCTATGATAAACTGTGGATAGACAGGGCAAGTTCTGCATTAAGAAACTGAAATACCTTAGATCTATTTGGTGCCTCTCCTTGCCATTCTTTATAAATGTGCTCTACAATATTAATCAGGCACCGTAACTACCTTGAAATCCACAGTGCAGCAGCATAAACCAAAGGGATGGTAAGGTATCTCTGGCAAAGATGTTTTCTATGTGAATATGGTAGGTTAAGGGAGAATAAGAGAAAGAAGAGTCCTGTTCTCCCCAACATTTCGTTAGGATTAGAACATGATAACTAGCTGAAATGTCCCCATTTTAACTTTTTTTTCCTCATCACACTTTGGGTATTGTGTTTGATTTCCACTGAACTATGTGATTTACTGTTTACAAAACATACAAAGGGTAAGAGTCTCTAGATTCAGCCAACAGTTTAGGTGGAAACTTGAGATGGGTTGTTTTTTTTTCTTCTATTCAGAGCTGCTGCTATAGAACCTACCAAGATACATTAGTTTGCAGGACTGGGGTCTTAGTCTTTCTTTAGCTCATTCTCCAGCTCATTCTTATTGGACTAAACCTCTCATGGCACGCTGCAGTACCTTGCCAGGGAGATTGGCAATTGTGGTTTAAGCCCATCTGGTTTAAGCCGGTAAGTCAGAGCAGTGTTCAGCTCATAGATATAAAACAGACAACATGCGAATACACCAGTTTCCATCATTTAGAAGAATTTGTAATTGTGTAGAGGGACAGAAATGGAGGATGCAGCTAAGATAGGCAGGGAGCAAGTTTTGGGTTGTGCCTAACATGAGGATGGCAGAAGAAGGGCCTGGTTTTAGCGCAGGAGTGATGAGGATTCTCTAAGAAGGCATTATATGACGAAGCAGAATTTTAGCCCCAGGTAATGGTGAGGCTGCATGCAGTGATTGGCAGGGTAGCTTGCATGGAACGAGATGGCAGTGCATGATGACTTGAAATAGCTGCGGGGGGGTGTAATTGGAAACAGGTCATTGGCAGGCTATGCAGATGTAAAATGCAGTTGCAATCCATGAGTTGCAACCATCAAGCAAAAGTCTGACTGCATTGGACAGGATTAAAATTAAATAAGGTGGACATGTCTGTTGTTCTTGGGGCTTGGGAAAGAAAGTAAAAATTACCCCATTACTCGAGCCAGGCCTCTTGGCCAAAAGTAATTAGAATTATTGGCCAACTAACAACTGAAGCTTTCATTCCCTCCCCAAACAGCAAACAAAAGCTGCAGTGTGGCAGAGACTTGGAGTTTCCCCAGAGAGCTTTGCCCTGGCTGAATGCAATGAGCCTGAGCAGACACTGCTGACGACTTGGTGCATTGGATTGGCGGTAGGTGCCAAGCCCATCCCGGGCCATTTCTACCCCTGGCAAGGCAGAGCCTGCTACTTTTAGCCTAGCAAGAGCAGCATATAGAAATGGGGGGGGGGGGGGGGGGAATACAGCTAAACCTGGTACCTGAGGAACAAGTAAAGAACAAAGAGAAAAGAAAGTGGAAGGTAAGTTTGCAAGGCCAAAAGCCTTAAGGTTACTATTAGCACCCTTTGCAATGTCATGCTCCAGCCAGGACAAGCATTACCATGCCTCAGAGATGTGGTCCCATTTCTGAGCATGCTGCATTGTTAAAGTATTTTCATTTCTCCTCTCAGCCCACCCCTTGCCATTCTGACCTCTTCTGCAGTGAGGAGACACTGTGGCTAATATGCATTTGACACCTGATTTCAAGCCCTATTTAGGGCAAGAAGCATCAAATAGAGCTTCGTGGTCTCAAACTAAAAAAAAAGTTTAGATGTGCTTAACAGCCTCTGTCATCTTATTTCAAGCTGCATTAAAAACCCACAGCTGGGAAGTATAGGTGAGCTCTGACCAGTGCCAGCAGTTCTGGGGAAGGGACCGAGATCCTTGAAGCAGTTAGCACAGTAAAGGGTAAAAGACAACTCTTCCAGTGCAGTACAAGTGAGATCACTCAGCACAGGTCATGGCACCACTTCCACATGTGTCATATCTTGCTTAAATACTTTAAGTTTGATGAGAAATAAAGTATTGTTATGAAGGCCTCCTTGGAATAGCATGGAGGCAATATAGGCAGCTGGGATAGTAAATGGTCTTTCAAGAAGATAAAGGACTAGGGATAGTCTATTCTATATACAGTCAAGAGCTGACTGAGGTGTACCTTCCTTTTAAAACAAGAGACATAGAGCAATGAAAAAGCATAAATGCCAGCGTAAAAAGTGAGTCTTATCCTGGTCCTGCAGCATAGGACCCCAGCAGGATGTATTTGCAGTGACCAGAACATACAAACATTTGTATGAGGAGAAAAAATGCATTCAGTTCTTCTCTGTTGGTCAGCGAGAGCAGAGTATTACTTTTGTAAACATCTGACAAGCAAAAAGCCAAATTGTGCATGTGAGCAGCATGGCCTGACTTTCCAAAGAGGCTACAGAGAGTAAAGTTCAGCCAGTAAAATCTCAGATTGCCAGTGTACTTCTTGGTTTGAATAATACTCTACTTCATGGATAGTTACAGTGAAATTAAATAGGGGTAATGGAGCAAGAACAGCCAGCTCAACATGTGGATCAGCCCAGACTGCTGCCATGGTGAAGGGAGCATGTTTCTCTTTTGAAGATTGGAAAGGGTATAAAAATGAAGTGTTTGGTTTCTGGAAGACATTTTCCACCAGACGTTTTCCTTTAGAGCTAGCAAAAAATTGTGGTCTAAATTAATGTTCTGCAAGTTCTTTCAAAAGGAAAAAGGTTAGTTAGATGTAACATATGCAAGTTTTAACTCTTACAACTATGAAAAGCTCAGACTCTGAAAGCAGGAATTTCTATATGCAGCAAGAGAGAGTATATTTAAGCCTCACCACCTTGCCCACATCCTCTTATACCCAGTATAATGGCCTACATTTTATATTTATTCAGCAAGAGCTACAAAAGCAGCCTCCAAAAGGACAAGGAAAGCAAAATTCCTCTATCAAGCTAACCTCAAGGACTAGGAGTGGCTGGGAAATCCTGACACCTTTTGAGTGGGAGGATGCACAATAGATGAGGCAGGGGATGCAGGAAGAGTGAAGACAGATGAGTTGCATGCTGCCACTGGGAAATGAGTGCTATTACTAATACCCAGTCCACCACAGTGGAGCCCCTGTAAGGAACAGTACTTGTATCAGTCTACCTGATGTTTTCATTGAAGTCAAAATGTTTGAAATATGTTTATTCTGACAAAAACCTGGGGAGCTTGGGCTCTGGTTTGAATTTGTTGGAAGGGAAAAAAAAAAAAAAATCACTGTTTCTACAAAAATGTTTTCACTAGGAAGTTTGTTGGAAAAATGCAAACATATACTGAGGTAGAGAAGCTTTCTCCTGAGCAATCTAAGGAAAAGAAACATATAAAATGAAAGCAACTGACTGGAAAGGGATGTTTTTGTCACTGGCTTGTTTTAGCCATTTAACTAGTTAGCATCAGTATGTGAAAATCAGTAGCTCAGCCTGACCATCAGCTCACTTGACCATGTCATTTCAGATGACATTTGGGGGACAATGACAGGTACTGCAGTATGGCACTCAGCCCTTCAGTAGTCAAAGGTTGTGCAGATGACTGCTTAACACATGAAGTGTATTGCAATTAAAATGTCTGTGCAGTCTTTTGGATAAAACATGCTACAGACTGGAAAGTACTGTAAATCTTAATTCTAAGTGGCAATACTTTTGTTATTGTGTACCTTTCTGCAGAGCATTAGTGATGGTTAGAGGCAAACTGGAATCGCTGTGAGAAGATGCTGTGGCTGTCAGGTCAGCCTGCTCAGGAGACTAGAGGAAGAATGATCTTTGTTCTGTATTTGTTAGTGTCCCAGAACTGAGGTTCAGAGGCAGCACTGCCACTGAAACAAAATAATGCCCAAGAAAGTCAGCACCCTTCAGGTATTTGTAGAGGAGAAATAAAATAAATTTGAGGCACAGAAGTTGTAGAACTAGCAAAGGAAACTAAAGCACCTAGGGCAGGAGTAGTGACTGGCATTGATCTCCACTGTATCCACACACTACTACGTCTAAAGGACAGCAAGCATTAGCAGAGCAAAGGAAACAAAACATTGTTTTCTGGTCTTTTTCCTTAATGGATAATATCACATGCTTCAAAGGCTCAGATATTCATCATCTTACCTGCAAGTTATGCAGAGTGCAAAGAGCAAAGCAAGTGCAAAGAAGGCAATCCCTGTTACAATTGCCAGCATCATCATATTTTCCTTTCTCCCCTGCCTCACAGCATCTACAGTGTTGGGTTCGGTGATGTTCTTGTATTCAAAGAGCATTGCAAAGCCTCGGCCTCGGTCTGTGGTAGTGATCAGTTCCATGATAACCTCAACCATTTCCAGAGATGAACCAAAGACCATAGTCTTGTTTAAAGGTGAATTTGGTCCACAGAAGCGAGAGGAAAATGTGATGAGATCAGAAACATATAGTACATCATGGGGACATATGTCCACTGCTGACTGTGGGCTGGAGGATACTTCCACAGGCAATTCTGTTGTGGGAAAAGTCTGGCTCTCTACTGTAACTTCAGCTCCCTCACTAGCAGCTAGGTGGGCCAGCAAGATTTTCTCCTTCAAATCTGTTTCCAGGCCACTGGTATTTTGCTTCTGCATTGTGGCACTGCCAGCCACAGGGAATGGCAGTTCTTCTGTTTGAGCCTTGGTAATTGCTTTAGGTTCCTTCATCTGCTTCGACTGGTTTTCTTCAGATGCTTGTTTGGCTTCATCTTTTTTTGAGGTTGTCCCTGGAAGGTCATCCAGGTGACTAGGAAAGTCCTTTGGCTGATCTCCTGTGCTGCTCAGATTCTGAGCCACCTTTGACATCCAGGTCTGGAGGGATGGTTTTGTAGTATGGAGATCAAAGTCCAGGTTTTCCTCAAGAGAAGGAATGTCTCTGTTTCCTGTTTTAGCGGGGGCTGAAAAGCCATCCCAGGGGGTTGGAGTTTCACTAGAGCTCTCAAAAATGTCAAAGTCAAAAATTTCCAAGATAAGATGGGTTCTCATGGGAATGAAAAACTGCCAAACACAGTGTGTCCCTGGGTAGTAGTTGTTTGGAAAACCTGGTGATAAAATCAGGCCTCTTTCCATCGATTCCACCACTGCACCACAGGAATAATACACCTGGGAAAGAAAACAAATAAGCTTACATCTTGCCAGAGATCGTATCCAGAATGCAGTCTGCTAGACCTACTGAAGGTTCTGTTCTTTCCCTTCAGGGACTCGTATAAGATATCCTCAAGAAAGAGGAATTCAGTAAGCTTGTACAAGTCTATTTTCTACTTTCCCATTTGGAGCATTAATCTAATAGGTCTTGTATGGAAAGCCACTCCTAGAGACTATGGAAGTGTATACTGAATGATCAACCTCCACAGAAATATAACCCAGATGAGTAATTCACATTATAATCACTTTCTATTACTGATCATAGTAGCATCCATTTCTGCTGCTGGCTAGCATACAACTTTTTGACCACAGAGATTTGTTGCCCTAAAAGCTGGTTGTGTGATAAAAATCTTGAGAAGGTAAAGAAAAACTGTGTCACCATAGCATCCTGAACTCTGTTATTTTCATTACAAAACCATTTCTTTAATGTTAAAAACCCAGACCCTTGGGTTGATGATTACCCATGATTCATACATCCAACTCACCTTCTGTTTCAAATTCAGCCTTATTTACTTCAGTAAGCAATAAAATCTGGGTGGTTTTGATGCAAATCAAAATAGTGATAGCAGATACCAGTTTTCACTAGTAAAATAGCAATCAACGTGCAGTTTATGTAACACAGCAATAATCCGATGTGACATTTGCTATTTCTTCTTTCTCCATAAATAGTCTGTGGACTCCAAAGAGGAAGGAAGTCCACAAATGGTGGCACTAACTACCATGCTGCTTCTTCTCTAAAGGTACATATGGCTGCTTTCACACATCATATTTACAACTACCTTCTCCCAGAGACACTCTAAGAGTTTTTTTTTCAAGACTCTTCCATAAATTTGGAGAACACAGTTCCCCATCTGCACCCTGGGCAATTGGTTTTGAAATGAGGAAAAAGAAATCAGAAGTACTTAGGTCACAAGCCTTGTCTTGGAACATGGTTTTACAAGCATTAATTGGAAAAGAAAGGGAATGCTTTGGGTTTGGTGGGGGGGTTTTATTGGAAATGATTTGTCATCTTGGTCTGTTATCTATTTAAACACAAAGGAAGCTTGGCAGTAGAACAGACAAAGCTTATGAAGTCCATATAAAGCCACAAGGATCAAAATACTCCAGATTTTTTTTTCTTCTCTTAGTCCCTCCCCTTGGCTCATATTGAAATGGAAAGGGAAAAAAAATAAAATGTAATGCCAAAGGTTAAAAGTCCTTAAATCCTTTAAATGAAAAGAAAAAGCCAGACCTGTTCTGCAAGGCATGACCTTTTTTTTCCAGCAGGTGCTGTTCATATTCTGTGTTATTTCAGGGTGGATGACAGTAAAAAAGGACAAAACCATCAACATGGGTGGAAATTGTATTCTATATTCAACTTGAAATACAATCTTTGAGTTTTAAAAGTATAATTTAAATCAAAGCTTATGTTAATTATAGTGGAATAAACTACAGGCTTCACATTTAAGGCACCTGGGCTGGACTATGTCGTGAGGTCTCAAGCGGAAAAGAAACTGTATTCATGTGCCAAATACATATTATTCTCAATCTAATGCCTTAGAAGTTCCACAGCATGTAATACCAAAATAAATTAATATAAATTTACTGATCTGTTCCCTAGGATGTAAAATTTTTAAGTTTAGTCTGAATTAGCTAATTCATGATAAAAATCCAGGTGAAAATAGCAAAATTTTATGTCAATTTAGATCCATTTGCTAATTCACATCAGAATTAGTTACATTTGTTGTCCCTTGGATTTTGCTAAAAACTATCTGGTTTGCAGTGAGTATGCTCCTCTTCCCTCAGCAGGAGGATTGCTCCTATACTAGGAAGAAGGAAAGAGGGCTTTACTGTGATTTCTCTCATATTCCTTCCCTATATCTCAGAATATAGGGAATATAGTTTAGTGGGAGGTGTCCCTGCCCATGGCAGGGGGGTTGGAACTAGATGATGTTAAGGTCCTTTCCAACCCTAACTATTCTATGATTCTAATATCAGTGCAGACTTCACAGAAGCACAAAATGGTTTGGGTTGTAAGGGACCTTAAAGATCATCGAGTTCCAACTCTTCTGCCACAGGCAGGGACACAGACTTGCCTTTGTTCTGGAATATCAGTGCAGAATTATCTTTGTCCCATGATAGTCTTTTGAGCTCACATTTAAATAAGATATTTGTATAGCAAGAAACAGTAAATAATGCCTAACTTTTCAACTAAAATATGTACCCAGTTTTGGAGCCAGAATGTGCACCAGAACTGCTGCTATTGCAGGGTGGTACTCCTGGATGTGGGAGGATTACAGATTGGCCCAAACCCCCTTAAATTAGCAGTGATCGAGGGTTGAGGTTTTATTTTGAGGAATATGTGAACTGATCTAGTTGCCTTTTTTCAGACACTGAGAAGGCACTTGGAGGTGTTCACAGCTCCACCTCTACTACCAGAAGACTTTGTTAACACCCAAAAGCAGCATCCATCAGCTCAGTGGATCATGTGGGATTAATCACCAAAGTGCTGAATGGGTAAGCGCACCCTCCATAAATCCCTTGCCCCCGCTCTCAGGATAGGCTCCCTTTCCTGCCTTCATTTTCACTTGAATATGTCATCATTTGGAAAGAAATATCTTGCAGACTCTCTATATATCCAAGGAGTCTCAGGTTCAGACTCAAATGCCTCTTGTTCCCCTACGAGCCATGTAGCCAGCAGTTGGCTGCAGTATCTAGCTGAATCCCAACAGGTATTCTGCATCATCTGGGCAGGAGGGGATCTGTGCAGTATGGCTGAAAGGTCACAGCAGTGGAGGAATTATACATTTGTTATGGCTTGGGAGACTGAAAAGCTTCAAGACTTGCTCTGACACCAGGAAAAAAACCCACAAGGGACAGAAAATGCAAGATAGGTCCGAGGGGGGGGGAAGTTTTCTGATTAATTTATAATCCACAACTGAATTACTGACAAAACTGTTCATTTGAATAATGCATTATGAAGGCTGAGTTTCATCAATTAGATACAGATGTTCCTTTCTGCAGCAAGTTATAGATTAGTGGGCTCTTGACAGAGGCACGCAGAAAATTTGGCACACTTTTAATCTTTGTAAATGACAGGTTGTTGTGCTTTTTAAAAACAACATGATATATGCCCACACCAATTAGGTTAGTTATGAGCAGGGTGAAACAGATTACCAGTCCTGTTCATCTGCTTTTCAGTACTTCACATTCTGTCTGGGAGTCCCAAATGTTTGAAACCGCTGTGTTGAGATGAACCTCCTGCCTACTATGGTCAGACATACCCTACCTGTCTTCTGAGTTAGGATAACTGGGGAACAGCATTTCGCAGGTTCCAGAGAAGTACTCAAATCTCAGCTATAGCTTGTTGGCCAGAAACTCAATAGTCGGATATTTCAGAACATGCCAAGATGTTGCATTTCCCCTTTTCACACTACACAGCCCACTCGGAAGCTTAAATCTATGCCGGTTACTAAAAAATGCCCTATTGTCATGCATTTACCTCCTCCTGTGCTGACATTCAGACTCTGTAGAAACGAGTAGTTAATACTGGCACCAGCTTTGAGCTACTTAATTAAGATACATATATTTAAGGAGTAATAAAGCCTCTGCACCAGGAAACACAGGGCTAAGGAGTACAAGAAGGACCTTGTGTAGGGCCTCATAGGTGATTCTGTCAGTGGTAGGATGAATGCTCTGCTGTTCTCTGAAGTGTAGGTTTGCAATAAAACCATGTGTAATGCAGTTGTAGAGAGCCTGGGAGTTTTTCTTAAGCATAAAGCTATGCTGGGTTGGAATAGATGTGGCCACAAGTGACTGCAAGCCATTGTTCAGAAATCTCACCACAAGCATCAGTGTCTGCTTCCTGAGGAGCACCATCTCTCAAAGATGCGAGCAAACCCTTGATAGGTAGAGGTGCAGCACAAAGCCAGGATGTTATTTCTTCAAACTGGGCCCTATACACCTGTGTGTGTAGAGCTGTCAAGAAGCAGGTGGCACTTGTAAAAACCACAATTCCCATGCAGGAAAGGGAGAAAATAATTATTTTGGCCAGATGGGAGTTTATTATGCAGCCCAATCAAGCACAAGAAAGAGTAATCATCATCATCTGAGTAACATAACCCTCAACTCTGTTCTTCATTCGCACAACATCTACAAATGTATTCCTGGAGCCCCTCTGCATTATTCCAGTAGGAATTTCGTCAGGGAACCAACACATTCTAATAGAATCCCACTCACTACAAGAATAATTTAATTAGCACATTTTCTTTAATCACAATTACTGCTGAAGAAGGCACCAGATGAGCTAAATCAGAGGCATGCACATAAGCAAGCTCTTAATTTTGCCAGGACAGGACAAGTTCTTGCAGCACCCTATATGAAAGCCAAGAGACCCTTCCTGGCTGCTTCCACCGGAGCAAAGCCATACTCAAAGCCTCTAGGAGGGTCTTGCAAAAAGCCATGAATGGCAATTTGTGGCAGCCTTGAGCTGGCCCACAAGCACTCTTCAGTGATGGGTACCAGCCTCTGCCTGAATCACTAGAAGCAGTCAAGCAAGGCTCAGTTTCTTAAGTTTCTCTGTCCTGCCTCTAAGAAAGAACTGCTTCTGGCATGAGATGATGCAGGGAGCCCAGAGGGAATGTGGAGAGGATGCTGGGATGTGTACCTGCTAAGAGAAGGTGATATGGCTATGTGGTTTAGCTTGTAAAGACATAAGTCCTGCTGAAGAGAAGTGGAAACAAAGTGATGCAAGGTCCTGGCTAGGGAAACCCTCAGTCCATTTGTATTCAGTTTTTGTTGAGGCTCAAAAATGTGAAGTAGTGAATTTTCTTTATTCATGTTAATACTGGTTACAAGAAGCAGCTCTTTGCAGCATCCTGGAGGATGCTGTCTTGCATCCCAAAGACTGTTTATTTTTAAAGTGTATTTATTTCAAGGAAGATGAAAGAAGGCATCCTGTCTTGATGTTTGTCATTCCCCTGTGAGTACAATCTCAGATTCTCTGGCTTGTGACCTGTCCAGTGTAGTTTATTTTCTTATATAATGTACTCGCCCAGGAAATGGCAAGTTCTCTTGGTATGTACCCCGAGTCAGAATGAAAGCCTCAGCAGAGGAAACTGGAACTAAGCCACTGCATTTCCAAGACACCATCAGGGGCCAAGCCACACACTTCATAATGATACCCAGTTGCAGGCTTGCAAGGAAACGGTGTGCAAAGATCATAACCTATTTTGTCCTTCTCAGCTTCTGTACATTTCTCACATGGATTTCCAGTTTCAGGCAAACTTAAAAATGTCACTTCCACTTCTTTTTAGAAATGACAGGGAATGAATAATCCACTATACTCCAAACTGAACATTTAAGAGGTACTGCATTTATTAGCTTTTTCAGGAACAGATGGGTATTATCCCCTTATCCAAGTTAAAGGCTTCCTTTTGGTCTCTGCTTGAAGATATGTACTAGATTTAATGCTAGAGTAATGAGTGAAAGTAAGCATAAAAGCCATTTATGCAGACATTAGGCCCTTTGAAGTGAAAACAGTTAGTTATGATCCTGTACTTTTGACCAAAGAATTATTTTGTTTTGTCTCTTCCTGTACAGTATCCCCCACACACACACATAAATGATCCTTTACTTATTATTTTTTGGAGTAGAAAAGGGAGAACCCTTTTCTACTCCAAACCCACATACAGTTTTTTGCTTCATGTAAAATACAAAATCCACTGCAACTGCCTGTTGCCAGAACAGGACTGCAAACAGTCTATGGCAGTTCTATAGTAACCTTATCTTGTTAGCCTACAGCTGGTTCAACAGCAGCCACAGAGGTAGGCAGTTAGTTTCTGGATGCATTGTGAGAATCCAAGATTGTTCAGTCTGGATGACTAAATTTAGCCATTTGAGCTCACTGTAGTGGGGTGAAAATCCAGCAAGTTTTATTTACATCCCTCACCTTTCCAAAATCTAAAACGTCTTATGTGCACACATGCACACACATGTGTGTTTCTCCCAAAGAATTGGCAATGCTTTGAAACTACCTCACCAGCTCCTTCACATTTTATTCTGCCCTGGGTACCTCTTTAAAGCTCTGTCTCCATCAACATCTTTGCAATTGCTCTAAACATGTGGGGTGAGGTACAGTATCTCAGTTACTTCCCCCATCTTACCTCCAAAGACAGGAGGCTCATTCTGAGATAAAGATTACTTAGACTCATGAGGACATTTGAATAGAGCCAACCACCTGAGATGAAATCTGAAGTGGCCCAAACTTTCAGCCAGAGCAGAGAGAAGATGTTAAACTTAGGGTTTTAAAAAGAAAACAAGAAGGAAAAAGGGAAAGTGGTCATTCTACAATCCCAGTTTAGGGAGGAAAACCAAGACAAGTCTTTACTTGCTGACGTGGCTGCAACTAGCTGCAAAGCTACCAGAAACACAATTCTTGTGGTTCCCAGTGAAAGCTCCAAGTTCTCTCACAGTATTTCCAAGTTAGGGAAGTCTGAGCTTTTTGGATGCTCATCAAATACAGGATCTGAGGAAAGATTATCCCAAGAGTAAGATATAAAACTCCAGCCTATTAGTTGAAGAAGTGACCACATTTACTTCACTAGCTGACTGATCTAGAGATCAAAGCTGGTAGGACTTTTTCCAAGTAGAGGACAAAGTTAAATAGAAACTTTATAAAATTAGTGCTCTACTTAATTTTGCATTTTCAGCTCATCTTTGCATGCAAGGTTTATTTTCTTTCATTAGCATGAACTAGATACAGCAGTCGCACATCTAACCTATTTTTCTACCTAGCAGTACAAGAGTTCCTGGAAGTGCCTTGGAATTCCCATTTCCCCCTCTGCCAAATTGCCTTGGCTGTTTAAAGCATGAGACAACAGCAAAAGGAGACTCTCTCATCCCATTTTAGGGCACCTCTTCAAGTATCTCTGAATGATTGAAGGTAGCAGACCTGGCAGAAGTAGATAAAAACATGAGATTGACAGAGTGTAACAAAACTTGCCAGTACTTTGCTTAGTTATTAGGAGAGCGTTTTCCCTGTTTCCTTTTTCCAGTCCTTAACTGTGATCTATTTGAGAATGATATACGAGAGTTCTCATCAATCATGAGAGTATCTTCTTTGCTGCGAGATCTCCCTTGACCTCCCAGTAACCCTCCCTCAACACAAACCCATGTACCTGCACACACACTTTATATTCACTCTTTGCTCCTTGAGCAAATTCACATAAACAAGCACTGAATAGGGTCCAGTTGTGGGACTCTGAAACTGAGCCGAGCATACATTTGCTTTTAACACATTTACGGCAACAGAGCAGTTGCACTCATGTTTTTAAACAAGGGTCTAATATTTCTTGAAGTGAGTGCAACCTGCTGGATTTAAGTAAAACCAAAACTGCATTTTTTAACAGATGCTCTGATATTTCAGTGGGGGGTAGCGGCAGTTCCACCACATAAAAGTGATTATGGATGTGACATTTCCACTCTGAGAATCCCATTTTCTCTTGTATTATATATTCTGACTTACATTGCTTCTTGGCATACATCAGACAGCTTCACAGGGCCCTGTTTTCACACCTATCAGCAAGATTTATGTTGGTTTTAGTGGGACATTTGAAGGGAATAAATCTGCAGGTAGGAAGGGGAGGATACTATGAAAGCCTGTTGCTGCAGGAAACAAGGAAAATATTGGTAGAAGAGTAGAGCAGGGAAGCAGGAATTCAGTGCAGCAATTAAAGCAAAGAATGCAAAATCTGAACGAGACTTGGAGGCCCAAATATGCCTCAGACTGTAGGCATGCTATTTTCTCTTATTCTTCCCATATGTGACTTTGCTGCAGCTGAGCCCTGAGCTCAAGCGTCACAACAGGATTGCTTGGAAGGCGCTGCTTTATTTCAACAGAGAACAGATCTCCTCACTTAGGAACAAAGAATGATCAGGGAGGGTGGTAATGTTTGCATACCTTTGGAAGACGCTAAATAGGCTCTGTCGGGATGGGAGGAGGCTGGCAGGGTTCAGGATACCCTCACCTGCTCTGGGTCTCCGAGGCCAGCTCCTAGTGCCTGCCCATAGACACAGCAGTTCCTACAGCAGCTTGCCAAACCGTTAGGCAGGCCATTGCCACAACAAATCTCTGTGAATCAAAGCAGCCGCAGAAGAAGTGGCAGGAGAAGGTCAGCGATCTCATTAGAGCTGAGAGGCCCTGGCCCCCCAGCTACCGCAAGGTCCCAGCTTCACAGCTGCAGTGTATTTTGATACCTGGCCTCAAGCAGATTGCATAATTGCACCATGAGGTCACCATCTATCCCTCCTCCTTGATCCTCTCAGAGAACAGGAGGTGGGGAAAAGGAAAATCACATAAAAACAAACCCGGGTGCTCCAACAACCACCAGGCACAGCGACGCACTCCAGTTTCTGTGGAGAACAACAGACCTCATTTAACTCCAGAGATGCAATGCCTTTTTCTCCTTACAAAAAAATGCTTGTTCCCAGAGACACAAATAGCGGCTGTTTTCTGAACAATCATCCATGGAACAGCACAGCTTTCCATAGGATGATCAGCAGTATATGCAGTGTGGGCATACATTGTACCTTGACATTTTGTACTTGCGTTCAGAGCAACCAGGGGAAAGACAGCCTAATGCTATGCTGGTTTTGGGACACTCAGGTGAGAAAACCAGTTTATCCTTATTAGGCCAGAGTAACTGATGTAAGATTCCTATGTAAGGCAAATAATGAAGATGACCCAGCTCTGGGTATGGGGCTTTGCTGGCTAATTTGGCTTGCCTCTCTCCTGCAGAGAGAAATTGAGAGCACGAGTTAGAGATGGTCTTAATGGCCCTCTGAAAGGGTAACTCCCCCTGTCAGCCAGGGTGGGATTTTAGGAGGCTTACTGGCTAACTCAGCTCCCTAAAGGCTCATAGCTGAAATCTCAGGATGCTGGAAAGACAATGAAACATTCTTGCTCTTTTCCCCCATATCATAAATAGGCAGAAGTTTTAGTTCTCCTCTTTCAGTTCTTTAATTAAGAATGAGTTGGAGTCACCTACAAGGTGTCTTGCAAGTTACAGCTATGTAATTCTGTCTAAGTAGAGTTCTCTCTACTTACCCAGTTCTTTCTTTGATTTAGATTTTTCAGGCTAGAAATTAATATGATAAATAGTTTTTCTCTGGGCTTGGCAGCAGCCTGGTAGTCTATGGGTGTATTTGCTACCTGACAATTTCCCAGGTTGAACTTACCACCATAGGAGTAACCCTGGCATTCACCGATTATTCAGCAATTGGCAAGTAGAAGACACGCTTATGAAGGGGATAAAATATTGGTAGGAGCATCAAATACAGACAGAAATGCTCTCAAAGAGACCTAGGCCAAGGCATAGGACATTTCCAATTTTTTCTTTAATTTCACTGATATATTTATATCCAGGTGATTTTACTAGAAACTAGGTGCCAGGTCTTATTCTGAAGTCTTCTTCATCCTTCACTGCAGACCCACATTGCAATATTAATTTCCTCTTCTCATTTTGTTCTGAAAGGGACAAAAGCTAGATTGTTTTCCTATGAAAAATCCATCTAAACATGCAAATCCAGTTCTTGGAAAGACCCACTTAACTGTGCAATGTTCCCTTGGGGGCTATAACTATTACACTCATAAAGTAGAACTACATTAAGCAGAAACCTGTCACTAGTATCTCATAAATTTATCATGCTATGTTCGTGCAACAAATGCAAGTGAGACATGTCATTATGAGAGCAGTCTGAACACTGAGTTTTCTCTTTCAACCCAGCATTATCTTTTATGGCTAAGAAAACATACAATAGCTTAGATAACACCCACCAGGGAGTGCTAGAATTCACATCAACAACCAGCTTTTCTTGTGGTCTTTTCAGACTAATCCTTGCAGGGGAGAAAAAACCCAAGTGCTAACTCTTGTGACTGGACATGCAACAGACAGAGACTCTCCCAACACAGAGGCAAGTTGCCAGATCAGATATGATCCTACATCTATACAAAGCTGCTATCCCTATTCTAGAGTTTGAAGTTTTGTTGTTTGGTGGTTTTGTTTTCTTCAGCAAATACCCTCATTCAAACATACAAAAAAATGTAAAGCTTTAGAAAGAGAAACAAAGCCATCATTTAGAGTGTCTCCTCAGGCAAATAATCGTGAATATGATGGGACCATACTAAATAAAAGTAAGGCAGTGTAATGAAGAGTTCAAGATGCCATGGCCATTTGCTTCAGGGTTTTAATAGGTCAACATAGGTCTTTTTTTTTTTTCCTACTAGAGCAAGTTCTCATTAACGAAGTGTACACAACACAGCATAGAAGAAATTAACAGTAAACGATAGGGTTGGTGAGAACTAACAGGGGTGATGAGGAAGTTTCCGGAAGATCAATCTGGTTTTCATTTTCTATAAATCGAACAGGCTAAAGCAGCTCAAATTAAAGAGTAGAAAACATGGTCAGACTCTTTGAACTTCTTGGTAACCAGATGAAATAATATAACAAAACAAAGCACTGCAGTAAAAGTTTGCTTGTAGAGTTCAGTATAAAAGTCCATTGAGCAAGTCATGTCTGTTCACAGGAATCTGTAAAACTAGTGTTCCCAAATTAAGTTTATATATATATAACCTCCCAGAGAAGTGGGAGAAATTTAAATAATGAAATCCATATGCAGCTTAGGTGCCCGAAACCACTTTGTTTTGTTTAGAAAGTACCAGAAACAGAAGAAAAGGGAACTGAAAGGCGATCCCATGCAAAGTCTGCTGGCTACTTCCCAGGAAATAAATTTGGATCTTTAAAAACAAACAAAAACCACATATATGTGTAAACTGGCCTTGCAAATAAAAGAGAGCTGTTTGTGCTCCAGCTGCATGACCCTATTGTTTCATCCAGACACTTCAGATATTTCACATGTTGGAAGTCTATTGTAGAAACATATGGAGAAGGAAGCACTCCACACGTGAAAGCCAAAACCTGCAAATATTCCTTATTGCCACTAGCATACTGTGGAGTTGTTGCTGCAACTCTTTAGGAACTGGGTTGTTGTTTCACTAAATGTTACTAGCAGGTGAGAGGGCTTATGCAGAAGACATGGATAGTGATCCTTAAATGGCAAGCAAAGAAAAACCCTCTCCCTTTCATGCAATATTTTTAACTTAGCTCCTAAATAAGCCATTGCTATGGCTGAGGCTGGGCATACAGAGGTCTGTTAAGGCCTGGATGCACATCCTTAGTTTTGGATGGTATACAAACAGCAGCACTTTTCCCCACCTCGTTCCAGGATCCTCTCCTCTTGTGCACTCTGCAAAGGGAAATTTCCAAGACTCCACCTTTGCCAGGATTTCAGAGAGCAGAATGCTTGTAAATCTTACTTTACTGCCTACACATAAGGAGAGACCATGAGGGCACAGCAGGGAGGGTGTGGGAGAAAGCAGAAAAAAGTATTACAGATACTGCAGCCAGAGGTAAAACTAAGCACTGGGTTTGTTGTTATAGGGCCCTAACCAGTGAGCAGTTTATTTTTCCAAATAAATGTGCTTTGCAGACATCCTTTCTTCTTCCCCATTCAAGTTTCAACCAGGAAACCTGTAATAAGTTACTGTTGATTTTAGAGGCAAATCAAAGTGTTCAGCCTGCTAAGCTTGCATTTAAAGTTAGTCTTGATGAACAATTCCTTGGGGCCCTTGTATTCAAATAGTGAGGTCTTGGATTCACCTGAACTGCCCACCCATGCAGATCTATAACACAGATAGAAGGACAAAGGGATGGGCAGCCTGGGCGTCAAACCCCCATTCTAACAGTAAAGGCTCCAAATTTTAAGTCAAATCCAGAAAAAAAAAATCCTTTAATAAAAACTTAGAGAAAATTAATTCAAAACAGTGAAATATTTACTAAGCAAGACCAGGGGAGGGCTAGAGTTAAGTAGAACAAGTGGATTCAATCCCCTGTTGCTAATCCCAAATGAAGTACAGTACAGAGCAGGCACACCCTCCTTGGAAAGGCTGAGCTATCTGGGATCTGGATCAGGTTGGACTTTGAAAGGCATTTCATCCCAGATCTCCTGCATTCAGGAAGCTGTCCTTATTGGCATTCTTGGCACCTGAGTCCTACTATGGTCCTGCTACTCCTCAACACAATAATGAAACACTGTGGAAACAGATCAGTAAAAGATCAGTGAAATTCCAAAACTCCCTTCTTCAGAGCTGACAGTAGGTCTGAATGGAGGTTTGTACCAGCCCATTTTGTTTAGCTGGTTTGATGTTGCAACCTGGCTGCTAATATAAAGAAATGAGAAGAATGAAATACTAGATGAAAATGAGATAGCACAGCAGGTTATGGCTTGCATTTGGCAAATTTGCTTTTGTTTTGCCACTTTGAACACCACCCACCCCTGCTTTATATTGAAGCATAATGGTACTGCCTGTACTCCCCCAGGACTAAGGATTTCACATAATTTCATAGTTTCTTTAATTAGATATTTGTGAAACTCTGAAATCCTCTGATGAAAGGTGCTGTAAAAGTATTACCAACTCTTCTACCATGAAAGGACTCCACCCAAACCCAAATACAGATGTTGTACTCAATGTACGTCATTACTAAACCAAGCCAGCAGTACTTATGGCCTGATTTATATTCTCCTGAAGTCCCAGATGACTTCTGTGCACTCCAGTAAGGCCTCAAGAATTCTAGAAAGAAAATATAGGCAAATTAGCCTTTTTTCCTCTCTAAAAAGGAACCTCCTTTTCATTGCCAATTTCATGAGTGAGGATATTCAAAATGAACCATAAGGCCATTTGCTCCTGAGAACCTGTAAGAGGAATTAGAAGGTTCTTGCCATTGAGTCTGAGAACTAAGGCTGCCATTAAGGCTTTTCCCTACTTCTGTATAATTGTTCCACATATTATTGCAAGACCCCATAGTGCCCTGTCCCTGTTCTGCCTTCCTCTTGCTGGCAATTTGTACAAGTAGAAGAGGATTATTTTCCTACTTAGTACTTTCCACACTCAAGGAATTATCTAAACACCAAGTTTAATATTTATCATTTATTGTTATTTATAGACCTGAGATATCTGGTCTGAATAGACTGACCTTGTCATAATAATAGTGTGTAATGGAATGGGTTGCTATACCATATCTGATCTAGCTACACTACTGCTGGGTAGTCATTCTCTGGTACCAAACACATCACAAGTTCTCTATTTTTAAGAAGAAAGGCAGGAATAAAGAGGCTTGAACCTTTTACCACCATTCCTCATCTGTCATGCAAAGAAGCAGGTGGGAAGAATAGTAATTTCCTGGTTACCACAGGAAAGCTTGTTTGCTGGATCTTTTTAAACCAGTGCAACAGGATTGTTTGCTTCAGCCTACTTAGATAGTAAAGAAACAAATATGACTTCAGCATTTTCATCCCAAGGGTGGTTGTCAACTCTAGCGGTTCTGCACTCTTTTAGCTTCTTCTGCATAAAGATTACCAACATTGTTCCAGAAATCTTCTGCCACTGCCTTACTTCTCTTACCTTGGCTGTTGCTTCCATTGCTGCCCTTGGCAAACAAGAGAATTATGGTTCAGGGGTACAAAGAGAGAGTCCCATGTGCTGGGCAGGACCCGAGGCCAGCCTTGTCCATCTTCTCAGCTTTCAGCTTCTTCAGTGCTTCAGTAATTAGAATTATCAGGACTAAAACACTGTGGACATTATTGCTGCTTAGCGTGAAGCTAACAAGTGAGCGCCAGATTTACAACATTCTGGCCAGACAGAGAATTAAAAAAAAAGTTACAAATCATTGCCCAGTTCCAGGGATATGTACTCCAGGATCTTATTTCACCAGAGACTCCACGTGAACTTTAGCCTCTAGGAGAAATCTGCCTGCGTTTTTCTAATTGAAATACCAGTCAGACCAGTGGCGGGGTGCAAACTAACATACATGAAAAATAAAGGTTCAATGACCCAAATCAATTATGTTTTAAGGGCACTGCTCTGGAACTCAGTAGAAAATATTTTAAACAGGAAAACGAACTAAATAGGATCATTCATTGGACTGGCCTGAAAAGGAGGCAGAAATCTTGTAAACAAGAAGTTCAGTGCTAGCCAGTTTTAGGTACTAACTGTAGTGGATTAAAATAAACAAAACAAAAAACAACCCCAAGCCTAGATATTTCTTAGACTCGAATAATGTTTCAGCTTTCTGGGTACTGCAGTGAAAAGTGCAATAAAACAAAGCTATTCCCATGCTTTCCTTGAGCACAGGCAGTGTAACAGAGTTTACTTCCAGACATTAAAAAAAAGGTAGTTTATAGAAATCCTGGAACTGCACCGTTATGAAAGTAGAACAACCTGCAGGTCTTCTGTATAAAACAAAAATAGTAATTCAAAGCAAAAACAACTTCTGAAGATTAGAACCAGCTATGAAGGATGGATTTTTAAAGCACATACACACAATCTAGGAAGGATCTGCTTTACTGCTTCAGAATATATGGACGTTGCTGCTCCCCAAGCTGGCCAAACACCCAAACTCTCTGTACAGTAAATATCTGCCAAGGTACATTGTAAACACAATAGGATGCAGCTGTGGCAATTAATCAAGATATAAAGAAAATAGGAAAGACCTATATTTCTCCTCTCCTAAAGCACAGAGCACTTTCACAAACAGTGAAAAGATGAATCAGTATCAAGCTCATTGCCAACAAAACTTTCACATTCTTTGAAGGTGCCTTATTTGTCTTGACTGGCTTAATTTCTTGAGACAGAAAGACACCCTGGTGTGCATATACATTTCTTTACAGTGACCTATAAAACAAAAGCTACCTGGACCTAAAAATCACATTAAAGTGCTACTAAAATAGCCCACACACCTGGCAGCAGCTGGGATTGGAACCAGATGTGCAGGACATCTGGTAAAGAACAGGGCTGCGGCTAGCAGACACTAAGCCATTTGAGGGATGTAATACTTTTTCAGTCCAGCAGTTGTCCGGAAATCCTTGATAAAAGTTACGTATTTTGCCACCACTTTTCTTAGGCAGAGGTGGATTTCTAAACAGATCTATTCTGTGTCAATTTAAAACATTTAAGGTTTTCCGTACCCTTCCCCCCTAATCAGAAGTGCATATTTTGCTGCTCCAGTTGCATAACTTACTGATTCAGCTGCATGCTTGGTTGATCTGGTAGGAGACTAGTACAGTAGTTGAGATTCTGGATACATTGCCAATTGTGCAGTGTGCTTTGTTGATCAGAGCTGTAGAATTTAATAGCTGAAATTTCATACACTTTACTAATCAGGTCACATTCTTTGCTAATTGAGGTGCATATTTTAGTAGTTGATTTATTTTATTTTTTTTTTCACTCCTTCACTGATCTTGGGAAGGATCATGCTCCCTCTGAAACCAGCAGGAATTTTGCCATATTGCTCACTGGGAGCAGGACTATGTTTGTCACTGGAGGGTCTAGGATCGCTAAGATTTCTTCTCTTATAAGAATAAGAAAGGCTTGATTTTTTCTTTAAGCCACCAAGTGAACAGAATAATACTAGATGAAGGATGGCACTGACACAGAGACCTTCTCCATAGGAATTTGCTTAAACAGGTTCTATTTTATGGACATACAGAGACATAATTTTGACTCTGTTATTATTTCATCAGGCTTACATTCTTCCTTCAGGATAAACAAGCCACTTATCTGCACATCTTGTTCCATATGATACAGACACACAGGAGGAAACATCACATACCTTATCTTGAAATTTTCTTTCATTTGATCTAGCTCCTATTTTTACACTGCTGTAGTACTCACTGAAGGATTCCAGAGAGAGCTCTACTTTGCCACAAAATATGTTTCAAACATCCACACAACCTCACAGCATCCCAAAGTTCCTGAGCTTTGAGTGGCAGAGACCACCTTCCTGGATGAAAAGAATAATTCTGTTTCCTGACCCTCAAGGCAGACTTTGCCCTTGCCAAAGGAGTTTCTGTTCTGGTTTTATATTGTTAATTCTAAGCCAGAAGACAATTCGTTTCTCATAAATCTTTGCATATCTTTTTTCAACTGCTAACTAGAACTACATTTGAACCACCAACTTTGAGTGGGATGTATATTTTTTTACTAGCATAGCAACACTATCAAAATGTAGCCAAAAAAAAAGGATAAAAATAATGGAGCCTATGCAACATAGTGCAGTCCTTGATGAGTGAAGAGCAAGTGCAACTTAAAAAAAAAACCTTAAAAGAACCCGGGAGCAAGAGATGTACACACACGTCTATTTGCACACACAGATTTCACTGTCATGTTTAGAAAAGAAGCAATAGACAATGCCTATGTTTCTTTCTGCAAAAGACAGTGTCCAGTATGTTAAGAGACTATAGGTAACATATGATCTAAAGAGTAATTGACAGAAGTCAAGTCTGGGAAAGTATGCAGGAGGCTGCTGCTTTTTCATTACAGAGGCAGTTCATTTTCTGTAGTGCTGTTGGTCAGTACTTTAGTTCAGATACTGCCTGAGGGGAAATCAAACAGTTCTGATTTCAGAGGTAGAGAACAACAGAAGTTGTCTAGGAAACATAGTAAAAAGAAAAATTAAGCAAAAATAATACAGTTTGCTGATGTCCCACCAATGCCATTCACACCCAAAAGTATATCACACAGCTAATACTTGGTCCATCTAGTGACTGTACAGGCAAACTTAGAACACAACTAGCACAGGAAGGATGTAATAACTGAGGGCAGCAAGCAAGTTATGTATTTTAATAAGAGAAGTATGCAGCTGGATAAGGGTAAGCTTGCAGGTTCCACAATGAAATTCTGAGTTAAAAGAGACAGAAAAGACAAAACCCCACAACTATACAATTCAATAGGTTTAAGTGTGCACTTTTGTGAAGTTAATACTCAGTACTTCAGTGCCAGAAATGTGGCTTAATTCAGAAGTTCTTGCTATCTTCACTAAGATATCAGAGTGAGATAAACCATCTTCCTTGCAACCACAAAGTCAGTGCTGTGTTCGTATGTGCGGTGGCAGGGAGTTGGTGTAGCAGGCAGAATTACAATGCTGTTTTCCACCAGAGAAAACAACCCCCACCTTTGTTGTTTATATGTATATATGCACATAAGAAAAGACACAGATGTACAGAATATTATTTTCTTACACTGTAGTGGCTCGTGTTTTATAGATCTGAGAATCTCTACCAGAAGTGCAAATCTTGCTCCTGTCAGGGTCCACAGGAAAAGTCCCACTCACTTCAGCAGGACCAGGACTGTTCACCCTTCCCAAAGCACAGAGCAGCTGTTTGCTCTGTGACTGCTCCTAGTTTTGGGGTACTCTGTGCTTCTTTGCCTTTCCATCACTGCTCTGTTTTCCACAGTGCTTACCCAGTGACTCCCAGCCTGTGCAAGGTCCCCGTCAGCTGTTAGCTGTCATTTGCAGGGTTTAACCTGTTCTCCGTACTACAGACGAGGTGCACAAGACTGGAGAGCATGGGGACAGTAATACAGGGTGGTTTGTTTGGACTCCTTATGCCAGGCTGCTCCTTGCTAGGGCTGCCTTTGGGCAAGTGCTCCGATTTCCGCTGGAAATGCTGTTCTATCGGTTTCCAAGGGGCTTGCACCGGATTTCGGATATGGCTGTACTGGAGAGGGTGACCAGAGATAGGCTTCCGCAGCGTCGTGTCTCCTGGTGCCTTTCGGACTCCGAGGCGAGTCACCAGCCAGCCCTGGAGAGGCTCAGCCAAACCCCGCCGCAGGGCGGGCAGGGGCCGAGGGGAGCGAGGGGGCAGCCCCGCTGCATCCCTCCTCCCGGGAGCCGCGGCGCATCCTTCGTCCCGGCAGCGCGGCTGCAACCCCCGTCCCGGGACTCCCGGTGCTTCCCCTCTCCCCGGCGGATCCCCCTCCCCGCCGCACGCCGATCCCTTCCCGTCGAGTTTGCCGCTGTCCGCGCCGCGCTGGGGTGCCCGGTGCCGCGGGGGTTACCTTGCCTCCTGCCTCGCCGAGGCAGAGCGCGGCGGCCGCCGCCAGGACGAGCCCCGCGCCGGGGCAGCTCCGGAGCATGGCGCGGGGCGTTGCGCGGAGCCGAGCCGAGCTGTGCGCTGCCGAGCCGCGCCGTGCCGAGCCGTGCCCCGAGCCGAGCCGCTGACAGCGACCCCCCGAGCCCGGCCTCCCCGCCCCTCGCCCCCTCCCCCGGCCGCTCCCGGCCCCTGCCCTCCCCCGGGGGGTCACCTGCGG